CAGTAACTGTAGCAGCAGCTTCAAGCGCCTTAACCATATTAAGCATTTGCACCGGCAATATTTCGTATAAAAGTTTATAATGGTTTTATTTCTGATGACATACTAATAAAAGTTGTCAGTTTTCAATAATTTATTTTTAGAAAATATAAAATTACTTTCAATACTTTACTTTCAATAAATTATAATTATTCATTATCAGTATTGTTGTATTCAATATCAGTATTGTTTTAGTATATGTATGCATGTATTATTCAAGTGTGTGTGGATGTGGTTTGTGTGTGATAGTATGTGTGTGTGGATGTGGTTTGTGTGTGATAGCATGTATGTGTAAAGTAGATCTTTATTTTATTTAGAAGTATATTAGTGAGTGTGTGTGTGTGTGCGTTTATTTCTGTTTTTGAAAAGTCATCATATATAATTATGTTATAATAATATTTTATTTTATTTTGATATGAGCATAGGTGTTCTTCGCGCCCATTATTTCTTTGTGTTTATGTTTATAAATAATAAAAATTAAACGTGACATCTGAAGAAGAAATAGATCACAGTAAAGAGTCTACAGAAATATGTTTGGACGTTCAGTTCAGTTCTAGTTTCAGAGAGGTCTGCTATCCAAAAAACGAATTTGTTCTATCTCTAGAGAAAAATAACGGTTGTTATCGTTAACTAATGTTCATTCCTATTTCATTAAAACACACACTATGTACATTTGCACGAGATTTCTGTTCGAATTCGAACACGACCACCAGAACTGAAAAATAAAATATTATTTTCAAATAATGAAGTTTAAAAAACGAAATGTTTCAAAAATTTTATCACCCTTTAACGTTTTATTCTAAAATATTGATAAGGGCTTAAACATTGAAAAGGGCCAACGCAAATTTAGACTATATGTAAATCGATAAATATTTTTCAGTCTTAATTCTTGTTCATTTGGTTTTAAAATAATGTTAAATTTGCATAATTTAAATTTTTTCCTTGTTAAAATTAATTTTTAAATAAAACTTGAGAATAGAAATAATTCAGCAATTAAAACACCTTAGCGTAAGTATCATGCTCTCATATATGACAATGTCCGATCAAGCGTAGATCGTGTTTATTCGTTTGTTATTAGAGTGCCATTAGCACCTAAAAGTTTGGCTGTTAAATTTAGCAGTTTGTACAAAGCAGAAATAGATATCTAAATTTGAATCTAAAAAAGAATCTAAAGCAAAATAGATATGGATGCCAAATACAGATATGTTTTATAAAATTCGCAATTTAAAATGCCAGAACTGACGATCGGGAACCACATCGGCTGTCACGAGTTCGGTGGGAATGAGTTGGTGTTGGCCTCACCCGTCGACTCCGCGGTTGATTGCAGCTTTCAGTGTCGCACGAAGAGCCTGAGTTTTGATTACTACGGGGTCAAAGTAAGGATGAGCCCTCTGTGGGCAGTTTTGTGAACATAAAAAATAGATAAATAACAGCCGAAATGAATTAATTTTAATTTTTTTCATCACTTCAATCAACTCTAGCAATAATTTCTTTAATTATGTTGTAATAAATAAATAGCTCAACTTTTCTTTGCCTCTAAATTAGTTCAACTTTTCTTTGCCTGTAAGTCTGTTAAGTCTGTGCTTTTGTCATCTGATTAATACGATTAATAGCTACTATCAGTATTATTATAATATAATATTTTAATATTTATATTATTTTATATATGTTATACTATAATATTTTAACATAAGTGTTATTTTATTATATTATTATTACAATCCTAATACACTTTTAATCGAAGGCCGGGCGGATTTGTTCCTGTTTCGAAAAAGTTGTCAAAAAATTTTCAGTAACGAACTGCGTCATGACATGCCATGACGGTGATCTATGCGGCGGAAAGGAGTTATACTCTGTGTACTCCAGTGAGAATGTGGTTATTGTAGTCGTAAGTGCGTAAACTTTATCGTAATCGTTATATTTCTGTGACGATTTCAGTAACTTTAAAACGGTTTCGCATTCGGTTTTTGTGATATTTATGGTGAGTCATATTCATCTCTATCGTTTTTTTTTGTTCTTGTTAAAATCTCCACGTTCGTCTGGCTGGCTGTTTTTTCATTTATTTTAACCGTGGAATTTGTTTTTGTTACCATATTATTTTTGAGAGCCTACTGATGTTATTTTACTGAATAAACGAATTATTGGATCGAAAATTATTTCAATTTTATTGAGATTTACATAAAATCGATTAATTTTTGTCTCAAATTGGAATGAAATTTTGAAATAGGAGTGATTAAGAGGCGAGAAACTCTCATAGGCTGCTTTGGAAACATTTCCAAACACGTCAACATCACTGATGTCATTCATTCGAGATGTTCCCTCGTCTGTGATGATTACCACAATTTCATTTTTACCGCAATCAGGGTTTTGCTTTAATTTTTTTTAATTTAGCGTTTGTGTCATTATTTTACCACATTTTGAAATCTTTTTTCGGAATTGCTTTTAAAACCAACTGTTGATGGAAAACTGTTTTTTTTTGTGATCTAGCATCTCTTAAAGGCCAGTATGTATGTACATGTACAGGTACACTGTACAACGATACCCTGATTATAAAACCATAATTCGTAAAAATTTTCAATTCAGTTAGGAAAAAATTTTCTGTTTGAAAACAGATGGATGAGCCGTTGATATGCCATTGTATGGAGTTGCTGTTTGCATGGGGCCAGGTGCCTCTCAAGAGCTGCTTTGAAGTTCCCAATCATTTCTACCTAGTTAAACAATGTTAAGGGATAATTATTTTTTAAAAATTTTAATTTTTCAAAAGTTTCCTTCTTATTTTATTCACTTGTTAAATGGATTATCTAGTTTTACTTTGTTTTTGCAAAAATATTTTATTTAGACATGTTTCTCAAATTATTTAGACAAAGATAAAATATAGTTACGGTTTAAAAAAAGTTTTTTAATGATATTTACTCAAAACATAAACATTAAAATACATTTCAGCTGATTAAATAGATTTACTATTAATTTTTACACAACGCCGTGCTGACAACGTACAAACATTTCTATTCTACTCTATCTTATGAATTCTATTACGTTTTTTGCAGTCAGGTACCATCAAATTTAAACAGCGTGACTTCTGAATATTTAATGATATGAATTTAGAAAACTCTAAGAACATTTTTTTCAATAATTTAAATAATCATTTTACTTTTTTGAACACTTTCCTTTACTTTAAAAATTCAGACGTCTCGAATATAGACGGCACTGGCAAATATAAGGAATACAACTTCTGTCTGAATGACGATGTTGAATCTGACAAGGCTTACTGCAGAGCCGGTGTATGTACGCCTGGCTGGAGAGGAAGTTCATGTCGGGATATCGGTAGGCGTCATAGGGATCAATGGATTTTAAAGGATTAAAATTGGGATATCTGGATTTTATATGATTAAAATTGGGATCAATAGATTTTATAGAATTAAAATTGGAATTATTGGATTTTATAGGATTAAAATTGGGATCATTGGATTTTATAGAATTAAAATTGGATTAATTTCGTTGATCAATGAGTTAACGAGTTGATACACAGGTAGGCCAAGTAGGAATTATTGTTCTCATATAATCTTTCGTGGGAATCTGTCATTTTTAGATTAACTGCATTAAATTAGTTAACTATATCGATAGAATATATACATGTATAGATAGGTAGGTCTTACAGGGGTCAATGGTTTTTTTATGATTGAAATTGGATTAACTTTGTAAACCAGTGTGAGCTGAGCACGTATTGCGACATTGGCTGGTTTTGTTTCTTCAGTTGATTCAAACATTGTAAATGGAATGGTTTTCTCTCTACATGGGTTTACTACTAATTCAAGTCCATATTTAAAGATTTTTCTTCACCGTACATTTGTTCATGAAAAAAATTCATTTCACATTGATATTTTCCATATAGATATTTTTTAAACTTTGAATGAATTCGAGAAATGGAATCTTTTATTTTTTAACTGTACATAGGATATTTTATGCACATGGTTTGTAATATTTGCTTTAAACGTTTTCAACATCTCGCAAGATTGCACAGTTCTCCGCGGCAACTGTCCGCCAGACATGATTTGCAAGACCGCAAAATACGGAAAGAACCTGACAGTCAGTGATTGCGCCTGCCAAGACGGTTACATGAATGCCAGTGCTTGTGCAAGTTAGTTGTTGGTAGACATTTACAAGAAAATTTTCAAAACTTTTATTCCCTGGTTTATAAAACGCTGATATAGCGTTTCAGGTTAATTTAAATAAGACAGCTTATTTAGGTCAACTTTCCCACTCAACTTTCCATTAAAAACGCGCCTTGTATGGAAAGAGGTATCTTTACAATGGAAGCCGATGACTAGATGACAAACGCTTACAACTACATCCTCTCTCTGCTGTAACATTTTGCGTTATCAACGACATATGCATATATGTGATAGATGGTGATCTCTGCTTGCATTCGAACGTGGTCCGCACGCATGAAGCAGAAATCATAACGCGCCTAGGATGAATTACGTGTTACGAAGTGTTCTGCACAGTACATGCATGACGATAGGATGAAGTTGAAAATAAAATAAATACTTGAAGAAAATAAAAAATCACATCCCACAGCAACGAGACAAATGAGCAGTGAATTGAACGGCACCTCACAGTTTGTCATCATGTTATGCTGGCTGATCTTCACCAATGGAATAATTTTTACTCTCATTTTTGCCGCTTCTAAGATCAAGAAAATCCATCCTCATTGTGGTCAAGAAGGAGGTCAATACGATCATTCATAAGATTTTAATCAACCTTTGTTGCAAGAATTGTTTCAATCATGTATGCACATAGTTGAAACTTTTTTTCTCTCTTCAAAATGAACCTCTAATAAATGTAAATTTATACACAAGCGATAATAAAGAGAACTATTTTATTTTACAATGGTTTGCCCTTATAATTTTATTCTGCCCATATAAATATATTTACCTGAATTGTAAGAAACTGTGTTAGAAACAGACAGCGCTATTGAATCTACCCGTAATTGTAGAATATCAACAAGCAAGATTCTAACCAAAAACCGACCAATCAAAATTTAACTTATGTTAATTTATTTTTTAGTTGTGAATAAAGCATTAATATATTATAATGTTACTTTAAAACTGGAATAAAATTTTTGATAATTTTCTTTCAAATTTCAATAGTGGAAATGGAGGTTGACATACCACCAACGCGATCACCATCCAGAGATTTAGCATCACAGATGCTGAGAGACTGACTAGCCTACTCTACGAAATCTTTTCCTAAAGTTTCAATTTCGATGATTTGTTTGGGTTTTTTTCTACACACATGGGTGTTTTTGTTAAGTTTGTTATTTAGAACTTTTTGACGGTTTTTCAAAAATTGTTGGCCTTTTTTTTACACCAGTGGGTTTTTCTCTTATTTAAATTGTTGGTTTTTGTTAGTTTTTTCAAAAAGTTATTCTTCAAATGATTTAAACAAAACAAAAAAAACAAAATAGTACAATTCATCTGTAACTTTCCATTCAAAAATTGAATAATTAAAAGAGAACAAATCTCAAAAACTAATGAAGGTGAAAAAAGTTTAGCCCTCTTCCATTAGAAATTCAACATAAAAATGGTTTGTAAATTTATTAGAATAAAATATTTAAACATATAAATCCGTGAAGCAAATATTCAAACAGGAGAAGTTTTGGCAGACAACTCATCTGAAAAAATACATAGTTACGAATAATTAATAAATAAATAAGAAATAAATACACATACACACAAACGTATATTATTCTTTTTAATACAAAAAATTAATCCGGTATATATGGAAACAATAAGATCATTTTGTTGATAACTGGTTTAAAAATGTGAAATATTTGTTTCTAAATATTAAGTATGGAAGATAGATAGTAATTGGTACCTGGGTGTAATTGTTAAAGTGCTGCAGTGGTAAGGTTCGGATGTAAAGAGATCCATACCTATTTACTGCACACAATGTGTGTGTGTGCGTGCGTGCGTGCGTGTGTGTGTGTGAGTTTGTTTGTGTGTGTGTGTGTGTCACGTTGATTTATCCTTGCTTAAATAATAAAGTGTTTGTTTGCTGTTGTAAAATTATGAAAAAACTTAAAACAAATTTACAAAAATCAAAAAATTTGTCGGACCGACCAAACCAGTTATCTCTCATCATCACAGCCATACATTCTCACTAAATTTCTTCAAGTGGGGTCCCGGTTTCAGAGGTAATCGTACTGGATACATCGCCCACTTGTATCTCTTTTGGTTTCAGATATTTCCTAGCTATAAGAAAAATGACTCCAAGGCTAAGCATGAGAAAGGCAAAAATAATGCCCACTACCATGGAGGCGAGTCTCATCGGAAAGTTCTCACCTGTCGTTGAGACTGACAGAATGTTTGGTTTGTTGTTTTTGTTAAGGTTGTTCATTGGCTGGTTGGTTTCATGGTTTCTATTGCTTTTGTGACTATAATTTGTTGTTGCTACAACAGAAAAATACAAATGATATAGGTTGTTGTCTAGGAAGAAAAAGCGATCTGGAAAAAACTGCAATGGAGAAGTCAGTCGAAGCATACCTATGATAACATTGAAATGTGTTTGACGCGTGATTTCTTGAAAAGAGATTCGTAGCAATAAAAACAAACCGACGCAGTTGTATGCCTTGCTTCTGACCATTCCATCCGGGCAAAGGCAAGCTGAGTGATTCATCTTGTTGACCAGCGAGACGACGCATATGGTATTGCCTTTGCACTGGCCATTCCTTACTTTGCAGTCTTGTGGCGTTTGTTTTAGCGGTTGCACACACATTTCAAATGAACGATTTTTAAAGGGATTCGAAACATTTTATGTTTTATTATAATTTTATATGCTAACCTCTTATATTTTTTTTATTTTTAAAACTATGTTTCGTAACAATCATCATTGAGGTTTGATAAGATTTTAAAAAATAAGAGTCCGAGTGAGAATTAGGGTATTAGCTGAGGGTAAGAAGAAAAGAATTTAAAACAAAAGTATTAAGAATTAGGAATAAAAGTATTATTAGTTCCAAAAAGTTCCAGAATATATTTTATCTAAGAATTAAGAAAAAAACCATTAAAAATTCAAAAAAAAGTTCTAGAACATATTTTATCGTAAAAAAAGAATTCAAACAAACTTCGGAAATTGCAGAATTCGCCCATCCAGCCTTGTATGCACGTTTGCGACTTCGAGCAGTAAGTTTCGCCAGAGGACTGGTAGTCATTCAAACAGTATTTAAAAGTTTTCAAGTCCTCGTACAAGTCTACTTCGGAATAAACTTGAAGAAGAAATAAATTAACGAAAAAAATATTGAAACTTGAAAAAGAAATTAATAACAGAAAAATTTAATTAATTAATGGGAAAAACTTTGTAAATATATGTATTTTATATAAAATTTGGCATTTAGTTCAAGGCCATTATTTAGTATTATCTTTATATTTTATTATGATATTGTCATATTGTGTGAGCGTTGCTGGTTTACGAGAAACATCTTCCTCTAGATAGTGATAAAAACAAATTTCTAAAATTTAACTTCAGCAAATACGTTTTAATTTTTCCATCAAAGTTTATATCAAAAAACAAAATTCATAACTTCAAAACTGACATTCAAAATTTTCATTATATATTGAATCAAAAAACAATTTTAAATGAAAAAAGTCTATAAAAATACTAATCGCCAACTGGTTTTAACCACACTGTAGTTGTACTCTTCAATAGTACACTGATCTTTGTAAGCTTGACTGGCCAGAATAAACTTGTTTCCGCATCTGCACTCCGTAGCTCCCTTGTGCATGGTTTGTAATTAAAAAAAAATAAATTAAACAACGTAACGATGGCTAAGGTGCTCGGTGCTGCTCTTGCAGTCACTGGTTTCGAATGCACAGAAATCACATTCAATGTGTGAGGTGTGTTGATTCACGTTCACCCACACGAGATGTTTGTTTGTTGTGGAAGAAACCTCTCGGAGTATGCTTGGTGGAAAAAGGTAGAAATTAATAAATGATACGAAATAAACAAACGAAAAAATGGAAAAATGGAAGACTAACAGTGGGCACGACTCGGGAGCTGTAGAGTGAATATCCTTTCTTGCGGCAAGAGTCCAGGCAGTCGTCTAAGCTGACGCGATATCCTTTGTAATCCATTTCGACAATTTTGAAGCAACCGACGTACGATTGGTTGAAGACGGCTTCTAGCGGCGTAATAAACATTTTCATCTTCGTCGTCATCTTCACCATCATTTTTTATCGTCCTTATTGTCATCTTCGTTACTTCGTCGTCGTTGTCCGTCCTCATCACGATCCTCATATGCCACACCTCTCCATCACCATTCTCGCCGCTTACTGGCATATACGGAATAAAATTTGCTCCCGCCGCACGAATCCTGACTGACACGGCACTTCGTCCGACAGCTTGCAGGCGGCATTTCGTGGCTTATCACGTTGGAACACTTGCAAAAAACGCCCTCCTAAGATGAAAACTAAAGTTTGATAATTCAAATTGGCGATTGAGGAAAATTTAAATAAAGTACAAAGATAGAGTAAATTAGCTAAGATGATAGAAACGCCATATCTTGCGTTACTAATTAGCGGTGGTCTGGTTCAAATGCCGTCTGTACAAAACTGAAGTTTACACACACACACATGCGCACAAACGCACATATAAACATACACTTACACACATACACGCACACACACGCACACAGACACACACATCTGTACACACACACACACACACACACAAACACACGCAAAAACGGACAAACATGTATAGATGTAGAACAACAAATTAACATACTCGCATCCCATAGAATTTACTGGCGATGCAGTGAATGTAACACTCATCAATAAGTTTAACTTTTATTTCTTCACTTTCATCCATAACTTGAAAACATCCCTTGAAGTTTAGACTGATGTGTTTTCCTTCTGAGAAGAGTTAATAAAAAATTTATTTCTGGCTAACGAAGTAATTGTTTGTTTAAATTATTTTCTAGCTATTAACTCAATAAAATGATGTCATAGGCGTTTCAATTTAGGCAGTTTAGTTTTGAATCTTAAAAGAGCAGTGGCAATGACGATGAAAATGGCGAGGATGATGAGGATGAAGATGAAAATAATGTCGACAAAAAAAAACAATTTCAGAGGTTTTCTGCATTTTAATTTATATCTATAAAGATGTTGCAATCGGGCCTATCATTTAAACTGACTTTCAAAGGTTAGGAGCGAGTTAAAAAAAATGTCTAATGAATCAATTGAAATCGATCATTGTGAATTGATTTAGAATTCATCAACCAAATAGAAATCACATGAGTTAAATCAACATGAATTAATTTAGAAATCAAATCCTGGAACAAAGATGACAACTGTAAAACTACCGCGATAGCTCGGGAAGGTACTGTAGGTCTGGTAATCAACATCATCACACCTCACAGACACATCACCAATCAATGTCTTCACCTCCACACACGAATCTGTCCCACAGTTGCCATTGTTCTTTCTGCAACCTTGAAAAATTTTTATCAATATAATATAATTATAATTATTATTGATAATATTAATTATAATATAACTGTTAATTATTCTCATTGTTTATTCTTAGATCTATCAAAAAAGCGTGCTGGTCAACACATCTGACTCGTTACGTGTAACAGACTGGGATTTATTTGCATTCGAATCTGCTCACTGCAATCAAATGAGGTAGCGCCTTAACCATTATACCACCCTGTTGCCCATCTATATATACACATCAAGAAGCACAACACGTGAACAGACGCACAAAACACTTTTACACACAAACACAATCATATATACAGAACTTGACTCACACACACAAACACACGCACACACAGTTACATTAATATACAAACACCCACAAACTCACACAAACACACACACGCACACAAACACACGCACACACAGTTACATTAATAGACAAACACCCACAAACTCACACACACACAAACACACACACGCACACAAACACACGCACACACAGTTACATTAATAGACAAACACCCACAAACTCACACACACACAAACACACACACGCACACAAACACACGCACACACAGTTACATTAATAGACAAACACCCACAAACTCACACACACACAAACACACACACGCACACAAACACACGCACACACAGTTACATTAATAGACAAACACCCACAAACTCACACACACACAAACACACACACGCACACAAACACACGCACACACAGTTACATTAATAGACAAACACCCACAAACTCACACACACACAAACACACACACGCACACAAACACACGCACACACAGTTACATTAATAGACAAACACCCACAAACTCACACACACACAATTACACACACAAACAAACAAATAAACAACAAAACCTTTCATATTTTCGTTTCTCCAGAAAGTCATATAATCATCATCTTCTGTTACACTAGCTTTCGCTTCCATACATTTACCGACCACCTTGCCGCCAACGTTGGTTTTGGTACAGATCCTATCGCCACAGTTGCCGTTGTTAATGCTGCAGTCTTTAAAAAAAAATTAAAAATAAATTAATTGAGTAATTAATTAAAGAGTTAATGAAGCTCTTAGTTGGTTGAATGAATCCTAACAGAATACTTATTGTTGTTTAATAGGATGGTTATTGTTCACCTGATCCTCATAATTAACTTTCAAAAGATAATTATAATTATCACCCTGTTTATTAATTTATTAATGTTATTATTGTCATTTTTATAATATTGAAACTTTCAGGATTATTTTACAGAAAGTTTATCAAAAAAAATGTCAAACTTCTACTATCTTGATCAGAATCAACATCTCTTTTCAAGGTATTTGCTAGAATATTAATTAAATAATTAATCAGCTGATTGGTCAATAAATCACTTACTTAATCGACTTTCTATGTAAGTAGGATGATGTTTTGGTGACAAAAAATAGTTCAATGGTTAAGCCGCCTGGACTTGATTTGGCAGTGCCTGGGTTTGAATTCAAAAGGATCCACGCCTTTGACATGAAATATGAGTGATGTGTAGCTTACACAACTTCATGTGCGCTGTGTATGTGAGTTTGTGTATGTGTGTGATGTTTGTGTGTGTGTGTGTTTGATACTTATTAGAAACTATCTATAAATTTGTGACAGTTATTTTAGAAGGGTGTGGAGGGTTCAAAAAGGCCTAAAGTGTGTATTCTGCATGGATAGTCCTTTATAAAATTTTTAACACACGTCCAACCACACCAGTTTAAAAGAATGTAATTAGCTTTTTCCATATAGAAAATTTATTAATGACCAACCTATATGAATAACTTCGATAATAAAAAGTAATATTTTTAATGTTGACCGTGACAGTGAGTTCGTCATCTTTTTGCGATGAAAACATTAAAAAATGACAAGAGAATGGTAATAATGTTTAAATGAATTAAGAAATAAAGAATATAAATGTTTATATGTATTTTTTTTTGTTTTGGTTTCAAAGTAAACAATAATATTGACGAATATATGAAATATGAATTAAAATTAAAAGCATAACAATAATATTACATTTAAAAAAACAAAATGAACTATTCTTTGATCAATTATTGTTTAATTTAAACATTTCGTATATATTTACGTGTATGAATGTAAAAAATATCTGTCGGGAATGTTTCTATCAAATTCATAGAATCAGAACTATCAGACGTTTTCTTACTCTAGAGCCAGCGGAAACACTTGTTCACAGTTTTGTCTGTAGTAGAGTTGACTTCTCCAACTCGATAATGTATGGAGCCAAGTTATTTCTACAGGACTGTGTCCAATCAATACAAAACGCGGCAGCAAGAATGATAGCCGGCGTTTCAAAGTCTCACTCCATTTCGGTTAACATGCGTGACGAGCTTCATTGGTTGAGATATCCCCTGAGGATTAGGTTCAAAATCGCTTTTCTTAGTCGGAGACTGTTTGATCGTGAAGCACCGATCTATTTGAGTGAGCAATTGATGCCGGTTTCAAAGGTACATAGGCTGTGGGGATTTGGTCTTTCCGTCAATCCGTTCCTCAAATTTTGGACGAAAAAGTGTTTTGTGGTGGCGGCTGGAATGTGGAACTCGCTTCCTGAGCTGTTAAAAGACGGTTCCTTCACAAGTCGACAGCTTTTCATGAAAGCTATAAAGTCTCATTACTTCAACATTGTGCATCATAGAAAGCGCTTCTGAGTTCTGTTTTTCAAGAGAGGCGCTATACAAATTTTCGTACTGATTTAACATTTCCAATACCCTTGAAATAATTTTTTAGCATCTATTTGTCAAAATAAACTAGTTTGATTTCATTATATCTAAGTCTTTATTAGATCGTTATTTTTATCATTTTTATACTGTTATTATTTATTATTATTAGAAGATTATACTTTTCTGAAACAATTTCTTCATTTTACATATTTATTATACATTTTTAAAGCTTATATTATTATGTGGATGACAATTTAGGTTAGAAGATATAAGTAAATGTAGGTTGCTTATAGATATGTGCTAAAGTAAGTAAGCAATTATAATGATAGTTAGGTTATGAAAGTAGTTCCCAACGAGACATCAAATTTACAGACAAAAAGTAGCTTAATATAAGATAATATAACGTATAACTAATCAGATAATATAATACTTTGTTATAATAGGAATGAGGTGACATACAATAGGGACTGATTGGTTAGAAGGAGCTAGACAACTAGTTAAGCAGTTAAGCTCTAAGGAGCAAGGTCTCCTGGTATATAATAGGCGAGCACACGAGTTAAGTAGTGTGTGTGTGTGTGTGTGTGTGTGTGTGTGTGTGTGTGTGTGTGTGTGTGTGTGTGTATGTGTGTTATTTCAGTTAAGAGTTAAGTTAGAGTTATCTCTATAACACGTTTTATTGTTTGTTAATTTTTATTATTTGACTTTACTATAATATATTTATTTACAATTAAAACAATAAAATATTGTTAACTAAAATGGGTGAGTCGGTTGTTGTTCTTGTTGTGGTTCAATCCTGAGTTATTTTTTCAAAAATAATCTTTTGGTGCTGATACAAGTATTTTTTATAAATTTATTTCAAATGTTATCTTTTTTGGTATTTTGAGTCTTTTAGTTTTAATTTTACGGAAACTGAAAACAAAGTTAAATGTCCTTTAGAGTGGAATATGCTATCTCAACTTTGCTTTTGATGTTATAAGATTTCTCAACTCGAAAGCAAGTTGGGTGCAAAGGTTAAGGGCGTCTAAATCTGTCTTTCAAATTCCAACTTTTAATTAGCAGACTGTAAGATGTGTTGATTCGGTGTTCTTCTCTTTTGATTACATTTTTAAATTAAAAAAACTAATTTATGAAATTAAATGAAATTAAAAAATAGAAATAAACAACTAAATCAACGAACGAAATTCATCCGAGTTTCTTACTAAAAATTAATAATCAATTTGCAGCGTTGATCAACAACACGGAGAACGGTAATTTTTTTTAGTTTGTTTAACAAATTTGGTTATGTAAGACTAAAAAAATTATAGAGAATCCAGAACTTTAAAATTTTCTGAATGAAAAAAAATTGTATATTTTTAAAATAATATAAACTCTTTTAAAACCGCTGGCGGATCTAAAGGAAAACCGGCCCCAAGAAATGTAATAAAAAAAGATCGCCGGCCTATTTTCTGTCTAATTTTTCTACACTACCATGAATTTTTATGAATCCGCCACTGTTCTTCAAACCAGATCCATAATAGAAATAATTAATTTTTCCATTTTTTCCCCAGAAAGCGTTTCAAAAAAAAAAGTTCACGGAAGTGGCGCCAGTGGGACAGACAACTTCTTGTCCAGCAATTCGAGACGAAAACTTTAGAGAAATTTCGTATCGTTATTTAAATATTGAGATTTGAAAATTTTATCATCAAACTTGCTCGCTTTGTTTTCATTTCAAGTTTCTATTACGTCAATGTTTGTTTTAACGTTTATTTAAATAACTTGTAAATATAAACAATCGAGAAGATAAAGTTTAGTTCAAAAGTTTCTCATTCGATCTAATATCTGATTGTACGTCGTTTCTAATAACTCAAGCGGACTCAAGACTACACACACACACACACACAAACACACAAACACACACACCCACACACACATAAACACACAAACACAAATGTTTATATATTTGGGCTAATAAAAGTTTAGAACACTCACATAAAACACGATAATATGCCGTTTTGAAATACCCATGCTGTATAAGTTCTTCTGCAGAGTGTTTTTAACAGCTTTTTTAGCAAATTTACCATGTGTTCTAACCTTTTCCTTATGTGAGTCAAATAATTTTCTATAATTCATTTTACAAATTTAATAAAAATATCTATTTTAGAATTTATCTATTTAAAAATGTAATTGTTATTAATGAATTTACGATTGAATTTGTATTTTTTTTTAGACATTCTCATTTTCAATTTCATGAATTTTAGAAAATTATTGTTGATAAATTAAACAACGTTGTTAGTCTTTTTTATTAATTCAATATCTATGATATCATATCAGACTATTTTTAAGAAAATATTTGAGAAATTCCTTATTCAATTAGTGAATGCCTCAAATTATTTAGCGGGAGCTTTTAATTTTTCATACGATGGTCCTAATTTTTTAATGAAGTTCCCTAATCATTCTTAAGTTGTGCATCAACATAGCAAACATGTGCGTGCAGTTAGCCTGTGTGTATGTGTATGTGTGCGTGTATGTGTGCGTGTGTGCGTGTGTGTGTGTGGGCTAACATGGTTTGTTATTTTTGTCAGATTACTACATAGGCTGCTACAGACATGTTATATCGGTGTCTGAAACGAAGGAATCCTCAATTGAAGCGTGCATGACGAAGTGTGAGCAGGTTCAATCCCACCATGTGCATAGCGCCGTAAGATTTGCAGACGTTAGTGGATAGGAAGATTTTTTTTGTAAAGATGGTATAATGGTTAAGTTGCCTGGCAATGCTGTCGCAGAGACTGGGTTTGACTGCACAGAGATCTGCCTTGCAATGTTTGAGATACAATTATTTTGATTGACGTGTTTTTACATATTTGTTGATAGTTTTGGAAAAATACTAAAGTAAAAAAAATTAAATTTGAAAAAAATTATCTTCAAAAACAAGTTGTCTACTGACAATGTCAAATCAAAATTATGTTTTGATCAAAATAATTCAGTAGCATAATAAATTCATTTATTTTTAATACAAATTATTTTATTAGGCAAACATGTGAGCGTGCGTGCGTGTGTGCGTGTGAGTAGGGTATGTGTTTCAGCAAAAATTTTGATGCTACATTAAGAGCATATCTCATTTCAATTTCCTTTGACATCTTAATGGTGTGACCATTGATTACTTGATCAGTAACTGGATGAGATATGAATGAGAATGAGTTTGAATGTTGAGAAATCTCCGCTTGTTACATGCAATGTGTTTGATGAGTTTATGACCAAACGCTGTACATTTGTTTGTGATAATTCATAGAGAAACTGAGAAGGAAATTGTAGCAAAATGATGACTAAATGAACGTATAAATAATGGAAAGATTGCGCTTCGATAAAGATTCACGTTTAGTTGACCATTAAAAACCTGCTACGTAGAACACTATGACGTGTGGCTGTGCGGCCCGTTTAATTGGTAAACTTGCTTCTAGTAACTGTGGTCTCACCTGCCCTGATGGAAGGTCTTGTGGTGGGGTCCTGGCCTACTCCATTTATAGAGGTGAGGTACACACACACACGCACACGCACACACTACACGCACACAGACAAACAAATACACACACCACACTCACACACACACGCATGCAAGCATGCACACACACACACACACAGACACTCACTACACCCACATACACACACAACTCTGTTTATAGATGTGAAAGACAAACACACACACAAACACACCAACATACGCATACAAACAATCAAACACACACACACATAGCACACGCACACACTCAAAAAATATCCATATGCAAGTTTGTAGTTTTTGATTTATTTAATGTTTACTATTGAATTTATTAATTCAATTCAATAGGCATATAAAAATATTAACATTGAAGGAAATGAATTAAAATGTAAAGACACAATGGCCGGCTGGTTGAATTTTAGGGGTATTGGTTTTTATACGGAAATAACAATTTCAACAGAGTCTGATTTTAAATGGTGCATTTTCCAGTGTAGCCTCAATAACAACCATTTCGTCGCGTTATCGGTAATTTGAAAACTATTTTCAAACTTCGGCAGTTATTATTCTTTGTTAACGTTTATCTTGATGAGATTATTTTGAAAATAATAAATAGGAGAGGATGTGCCGTTGTTTTAAGACAAGAGGCGATTTCACCACTGAAAATTTTCAGAGGTCAGAAGCAAACTGCAGGATGTCACCGGACACCAATTACATAATCTTCCATGCAAGTAGGCTGTCAATGAAATTTTCAAAATTTATCAAATGTCCAGAGAATTTTTTTAAACTAACGTACAAATTTTTATCTCACAATCCATTTAACAAAAATTTAACACAAGTTGTCATATTGTTCAAAATATTTTGACAAATACAAGAATAAATTCTTTTTAAATTTTTTATAATTTGTATATCAAAAACTTGCGATGCTCAAATGAATGCTCAAGCATTTCTGATTAAATATTCAAAATTAAAAAAAAACAGCTAAACGAGTTTTGGAACAGAACATGCTGGAATTCAGCAGATGTTATGAAAGTCAAACTATTACAATAAACCATACTTGCATCAATTGCAAGACATCTTGGAAAGGACCCAACTGCAATCAGAAAGGTAGAAACAACTTCTTCTGCTGCTCTAGCCACAAAATAATGTCTATTTTAAAATTCCCCAACACCAGTGGCATAGCTGACTTTTTTTGTACACTTGAGTTAAAACAAAAACGTTTGAAACATTATTTTCATCTTACGGATATAAAAATTTTGATTTATGTTATAAAAATAGGCATTCGAAGGTTACTGTTTTGGTGAGCTGAAAATATTTAAAATATAAATTTATGTAAAATTTTAGTTACATTTTATTTTAACTCTATTAAACTTATCTATTGGTAGAAATTAGACTCTTTGCTACGCTTCTGCTTAACCAGAACATTATAAGTTAATGTACAGATTTTTCAATATTTATAATTTTTTTTTCATAAATATCCAATTAGGAAGTTTGTTTTTTGGCTACAAAATTTCATATCTGTAAAACCTTATCAACTCAAAGGATGTTTTAATGTACAATTGTTCTGAGTTTAAAACACCGAAAATTCAATTGAAACATTGTACATTTTTTTATTTTAAATCATCTTATAAATTTGAAAAAAATTTATGGCTAGCCGGAGTTTTTTTCGACTTCAACATAGCGCCAAACTTTTACTGGATTTAGCAACTAAAATATTTATTTTGTAATTGAGATTGCAAGGTGAAGAATGGCGAATGCAATAAGAATCTCTTATGTGTCGACAGTGAAGCGAACAATCAGATAGTCAGTGAATGTGTCTGCCAGGAAGGCTTTGTGGTAGACGAAGCAATGAGAAACTGCTTGAGTTATTTTACATTTTCAGTTTTTTATGGATAATTATCTATAATAATAGAAAAATATTCAAAAAACTATTTTGTTTTGTTAGAAGTATATTTAGCAATTTTATCTTCATATTATATATTATTAATGTGGGGCGGCGTGATGGCTCAATGGTTAAAGGCGCCTGGTCTTGCTATTGCTATGACTTGGTTCGAATACAAAAAGATCCCCGCCTATCATATGCAATGTGTATGACGCGTGGTTGGCACCCGTATTCATATACGCTGTGTGTGTTTGTCGTTGAAACCTCTGGAAAAAACGCAAAAGAGAGAAAGAAACCTTTAACTTTTTAATTTGTATATTTAAAGTGTTTTTATTTGTTTTTTCACGACTTGTAAGTTTAATGTGAATAGTCGAATTAATGCGAATCTTCAAAATTTTTCATCTAATTTCAATTACAGAATTTCGTTTCAACGTTGCTTATAACATAATTAACACATTAACAAATGGCATTTTCTGGGAGAGCCCTGCCAAATCGAAGTCTATATCAATCAGTTTGCCGTCCGAATATGTCATACTATATTTATCTATTTACTCGCATCGAACAAGTAAGTTGCGTGCAATGCCTTGGTTTAAATGTACCTGGATTTTTTTTTATAAAACATTTATCTCATCTTTGAACCTACACTTGATTCCGCATGCATTTATTAAACAAAATAAAAAAATGTGAAGACTTCTGACTACTTCTTCAAAAACGTGCGATATATTTGTACGTTCTATTATAATAAATTCTACAATAGTTTTCCTAGCATCATATTCATTTGCCAATTTGAAAGTGAAATGTTTTAGTGAATCAAAATATTTTATAGATCTATTTTGCAACTCAAAATTATGGGATATTTTTTGGCTTGTTTTTGGTTATTGAAATTGTTGAGATCATTATTACTTCCTTGTTACGTCACTCTACAGTTGCAAAATACGCAAGACAGGGTACTGTCAAATTGTTTTCAAGTGACCCTCTAACTTCCAGTGAAAGCAGATTGTGTGGCACCGTTGAGTTTGAGAACGATTTTTATGGTGATCCAAATGACGTACAATGCGAAAATTTCGATCAGACCAGCAAGTACATCACCATCACCGCGGTCAGAACACAAGTCCTGAATATTGTCGAAGTTGAAGCCTTCCCTCTTGGTATATTTCTTCTCATTCGAATTGCATTTAACACATCAAATCAAACTTTTTTATTCATTAGAACAAGTAGTCTCAAGTTGCACAGACTTATGATTGAGTATCAAAAACAAGTTCCCAGCAATAGCGTTATTTGAAAAAATAAATTTTATGCTTACGTTTTTATTTCAATTTACTACTTATCACAACGTTTGAGCCAGAACGGTTTTCTAGTAGTTAGGCTATTACAAATCGGCCCATACTTCAAATAGGAGTACCTAAGATTATACCACCCAACTCTATAACTCTATTACTTTATAATTATAAAGATATAACTCGTCTCCAACCGTAACGACACCTTTGATAAAATTAAAATAACAAAATGTTTTCATAAACAGATTGCAGTGTTAGAAATGGGAATTGTGGATCGTTGAAATGTACAGAAAAAATGTTCATTGATAAACCTCCAGAAATCATATGTGGTGATGTTGTTAGAACTACCGAAATTAAAAGTATTTTTTTTTTATTTAGTATTTATATATTTAATTTTTAGGAAGGTTTTTGATCATAAAATATAAAATCATAATTTGACTTAATCGTCATGCAAATCTTAAAAATTGTAGGTAGAACTAAGCAATTGTAATTGGGATCATAGATGGTCAAAGATTGTCAATCTATTTTTAAACCTTTTATTCAATCAATCAATCAATCAATCAATCAATCAATCAATCAATCAATCAATCAATCAATCAATCAATCAATCAATCAATCAATCAATCAATCCATCAATCAATCAATCAATCAATCAATCAATCAATATATGTAGAATATATTATAATAGAACGTACAAATATATCGCACGTTTTTGAAGAAGTAGTCAGAAGTCTTCACATTTTTTTATTTTGTTTAATAAATGCATGCGGAATCAAGTGTAGGTTCAAAGATGAGATAAATGTTTTATAAAAAAAAATCCAGGTACATTTAAACCAAGGCATAGCACGCAACTTACTTGTTCGATGCGAGTAGATAGATAAATATAGTATGACATATTCGGACGGCAAACTGATTGATATAGACTTCGATTTGGTAGGGCTCTCCCAGAAAATGCCATTTGTTAATGTGTTAATTATGTTATAAGCAACGTTGAAACGAAATTCTGTAATTGAAATTAGATGAAAAATTTTGAAGATTCGCATTAATTCGACTATTCACATTAAACTTACAAGTCGTGAAAAAACAAATAAAAACACTTTATATATATATATATATATATATATATATATATATATATATTACGAAAGATCGTTAATGTATTCAGTCTATCTTTTAAATAATTTGTTTATGATTTCGTAATTACTTTTTTCAGTGAAAAGTCAGATTATATCCTATAAGATTTTAAGCTTCATTCAAAAATTGTAAGAATTGTTGTTTTTTTAAATTATAATTTATTTTATTTTATTCAAATAATTCTAATTATTGAATGTAACTTACCTCTCAAATATTCTTACAAAACGTTAAATTTTTTAATTGAAGAATTAAAATTTTTTTGTATCTAAAATTGTATTTAAACAACAAAAGTATCTTTTTAAGTTTAATTCTTATTTTTTTAACTTTTTTCGTATATAAACTTAGTTAACTTTATTCTTATTTCAACTCAATTAACATCTTTTTATTTAATTCTCAGTAGATGAAGTGGAAAATAACCCAAGTTTAACAGCTACGACAGCTGCGAACCCAGTTCGCCAAAAATTGAAATGCAGTGAAAATAATGGTGGATGTGGTGATGGCCGATGCGTTGAAACCAATATCTATGATCAGAATGGCAAAAATATTACAGATGTAAAATGTTACCCTCCAGATAAAGATAATGCGGAAATTGGTGATGGTTGTCTTGTTTCTTTTTTTTTTTTTTTTTTTTTTTGTGTTCATGATTTTTAATCATCTTTTGTCTTCTGTAGGACTCATTTCATGAGAATACTAAAATTAAATGGAGAATTTAGGAGAATTCCAAAATAGCATTTCATTGGATTGTGAAAATCTTTTTCAAGATGCGTTTTTTGAAAATAAAACTTCCAATTAATTTGATGAACAATTTTTCTATCAATATTAAAATAAATTTTTCTAAACTCTTTATTACAAAATGTTTTGTTAACATTTTTGTTTCGCAGAGGCAGAAACAAATTTAACCTACCAAGGATGCTTTTCAAAAGTCCAAACAACGAAATCTCAAAAATCATTAACAGTGAAATTTTGTTTTGAGTATTGTAGTGACACTTTATTCTACTCAATAAAAGTTTGTAAATTTCTTGTTAAGTTTTTGTTTCTTGCAATTTTTAATCTGAAATTAACTAAATAATAAACTAGATTTGTATTTTTATTAATAAACTAGTTATTCTCAAACTCTTTAAAACTAGTAAAATCGAACCAATCTGCTATAAAGTTGGTGAAGATAATCTTAGCAACTACCTACCAAGTCTTGTTGATTAAAATTTTAATATACCAAGAATTTTTGAGAGGCACGATGTTGTAAAGTTACCTTGTTCATGTAGTGTGTTTGATGTACAGAAGTTTTTGTTTGACACTATTGAAAAAATAGAAAATATTGAATCAAAAATCTCAATTTTTAACCTTTCCAACATAATAACAAAATTTGAAACTATGGGAGCGACAATGACTGTGAAATTTTTTAAAATTTAAGAATAAAATCTTATATCGAAAGTTACGTTGGTATCACTTAGTTAATTGTGGTGTTCGTCACTGAAATAAATTTTTGAAAAATTCAGAATGGTGCATTGTGCACGTGTGGAAACGGTGTGGAGGGAGAAGTTGGTGCCGGTAAATGTGACATGATGTGTTTGGATGGCTTGTCGTGTGGTGGGATGCTACACTATTCCGTATACGCAAGTAATGTTTCAGTTTTTCAGCTACATACGCTAAAGTTTTAAAATTTACTTGGGTTATGTTGAGTTAAACTTGAATTTTAAATTGATCTAGTACAAATCGATCCATAGAGATGATAGAAATAACTCTTCAAAGTTCATAGTTATTAAATTGCTGATGTTGATGAAATTTCGATGGCTTATAATCTATATTAGTTGAGAAGTTGTCATTTAGATTATTTTCACAATGTTTAAAATTTGTACAATAATTTGAACCAAACGTCCCGTTTTTCTATCCTCTTCTGGTTTTCACTTCTTCTTAACTCGTGTTAAACACACTTTTGCTAAATCTGCATGTGCTTTTTGACATTTTTCTTTGGAACTCTCTACATCTTCCTCTGACTACTTGTCCATCACTTACAAACTTCAGAGCGAATTTCAAGACCCATTGTTTTCAAAATTTACTGAGGAAGGATGTTGATCATTTACAAGCTAATTGATTGATTGGTTGATTGATTGATTAACTGATTGATTGATTGACTGACTGACTGACTGGCTGACTGGCTGACTGACTGATTGATTGATTGATTGATAGATTGATTGATTGATTGATTGATTGATTGATTGATTGATTGATTGATTGATTGATTGATTGATTGATTGATTGATTGATTGATTGATTGATTGATTGATTGATTGATTGATTGATTGATTGATTGATTGATTGATTGATTGATTGATTGATTGATTGATTTATATATAAATGTTAGGGCCATCGAACGTCCAAGTTGATATCGGGTGTTTTAGATTTTTGGAACTTGATAAAAATATGAATCAGTCCATGAGCCAATCTAACTGCACGGTAAAATGCAAAGAAATTGACTATCCGTACAGTGGGACAAATGTGAGTTTATAGATTTTCAATTATGGAATTTTGAAATTTGAAATAATTTTAATTATATGGCTGATATAAGACAAACGAGTTTTGGCTTAATAAGTGCTTTTCCGAGCTTCTTTTTTTTATTAGTTCGATATTTTTAAGTCAAAATTTTCATTTTCATTTTTCATATCATTACATAATTTGATCATTACATGATTCAGGCTTTATTAACATGTCAGTGTGGAAAGAAAGTGGTATATAAGGATCAGACATCTTTAGAACAATGCACCAATTCATCAGTTTTTTTTCTGCTAACTGATGGTAAATATTTTATTTTGATTTTTAATCGAATACTGTTTTTAAAAATGTTGTAACAACACTTTTGAATCTGAAAAACTAAACTTAGTATTTTGTACAAATTGTTAAAAAATAGCTTATGAAAGCCTGAAAATTATCTTAAAAATTACAATACATAAAATTTAATTACATTTTATTCCTCTAGTTTTGCCTGACTCAAACATAAATAACAAATCCTCGAAGTACAAATACTGCGTGAATGACGCGAAAGAAAAGAATAAGTCTTACTGTAGATCTGGTGTTTGTGTGCTTGGCTGGTCCGGCAAATTTTGTAGCACTAGAGGTATGACATGAAATTTAATTTATTTGTGATTCGTTTCTGTTTTGGAAATAATTGCCGATTAAATTGTACGATTGAAACATACCATACAATTTGAATAGGCTGTGCCATTGGCAGCGAGTTATTCAAATTTTTGGGGGGCTCAAAAGTTACCGAAATTTTAATTTTTTGTTATTTTTAGTCATACTGTAATTTAAACTTTTTTTTAATTTTTATTCAATTTAAAAGTCAAAAGTTTAAACAATATAATGTAAATAGTAAAATTCTATTTTTAAATATCCCGAACCTTAAAAAATCTAGTTTAGATACAGTCATGTTGCAAACGATTTTCTGCGCAAATCATTCCGAGAAGTAAAATCCTTGTATAATTCCTCAAATGAAAGATTGTCAGCGCGTTCTTTATAGCAATGTAGTGTGGCCAAATGGTTTAATCTTAGCCGATTGAATGTTGAACGTAAATGAGCTGCATGTCGTCACTGGAATTGTAAGAAAAATTCTAATAAGTTGAGAAAGTTCTTCATTCAAACAATGTCAGTTTGTATCTTTTAAAATCTTGATTCCAAATCGGCAAGTTTTTTGAAATCATCAGAATTGAATTTAGCGTCAAAGTAAAGAGATAGCAAACGTTTGTAAATTGAGTCATTAATTGTAATAAAATGTGAAAAATATATTTTACTATGCAATATATTATTTATGAAATTAGATCAGCTCTCTCAGAAGTTTTTGATGATTAATTTTACATAAATAAGCTAATATCCAGCCAATATAGTTATAAGAAAATAAAAACTGAAAACAAAGATATTTTCAAATATTGAGGGGACTCAAGATAGGCTTGAGCCTGAAGATTGAAACATTGGGGGGCTCGAGCCAGAAAGCCCGTACTACTAGCCGCCAGTGGGCTGTGCAATATTAAATTCAAAACAGCACAGGTTTGAATGCACTTGCTGTTTAGAAATTGCACTATATCAATACAATTTTATTAATTAATTGAAAAGTTTCAATTAATTTTTAGAACCATCAATAAATGTAAAATTGTTTCCTAAAAGATTGCGACATAAATAATGGCGGTTGCAACTCGAAGATGGAGTGTCATCGACAGGTTGTGAACGATCAGATGATTGAGAAGTGCCTTTGCAAAAAGGGATTTGTTAGGGGCAATGACTCTGAATGCTTAAGTAAACAGTTTAATTTGATTTTGAATAGTTTTTATTTATTTATTTCAACTTATCAATAAAAATTGGAATTGTTTGTTAATGCAAATTTTAATCAATCCATGTTTTGCTGAGTGTTAACGCTTGAACCACAATTTTCAGATTTCTCGTGTGATAGATATCCAGATGAAAGCGCAAATAATTTATAAAATATAAAATTTCTCATTTCGAACATCACAAAATTTGTTTTTAAAATTGATAAATAAGATGAATATACAGGCCCTTCAAGTTCTGACGATGAAAACTTTTCTAGAAAATCAGACATTGGCATTATAATGGGCAGTGTAACCGCTTCGTTGATCCTGATAACGTTGTTACTGGCTTTTCTCCTTACTCATAAATTTTGTTCAAAAGGTTAAGGCGGCTTATTTTGTCGAAGTTGTGTGTTAAATAATTATACTGCTAAAAAATTTTTGTAGTTCTCGTTAAAGATATTTTTTAATAATAGCTAACTGATTTAAAATGAATTATTAATTTTTAAAAATTATATTTTGTTTAAAAAAAAAACAAAAAATACACAAAACTCTAGCGACCAAAAAAAATTTTACTCCCCCAGATCGAACAGCAGCAAATTCAAGTAAAAAGATAAATTTGATTTGTGTGTGAGAGGGTGTGTGTGTGTGTGTGTGTGTGTGTGTGTGTGTGTGTGTGTGAGTGTGTGTTTGAGTGTTTGTTTGGGCGCTTGTGTTTGAATGATTTATAAAATGATTATAAATCTTTAAGCTGGTTTGGAGTAAATAAGATTTTTCAGAATGTGAATACCCAATAGAAAAAAAGGTCTATTACATACTTCTTCAGTTCAGAGGTATCAACAACTTGCAAACACATCTGATATAAATACATGCTAAACGATAAATTTAGTACAATATAAATTGAGTAAAGAACTACCAGCTTATTTTTCAATTTCAGCGCCGAAAATATTTGAATTACAGTTCGTAGTTTATAATGATAACTATCCATATTTATGTCGAAGAATTAAAATTTAAATATTCCTGTCTAATAACTGAGTTTTACTGACTTTAGATGTCAACACTGCTCACAACGGGGTCATGACCTCCCCTCCTAAATTGGCCACTGGACGTAATTAATTTGAAATTTATTAATATTTTGTATAATTTTTATAGTGAATTTAAATTAAACTTGCCTTATTTCATTGAAATTGAACTTCCACAAAAATATTTATCCCATAGATCGAACGTCAAAGCCTAATAGGCGTAAGCTTTTTCTACAAAAAAATTTATAACCATAAACATCGCTCAAAAAATGTATTTACAAGTTTAACGATTCATCCATATCTGAATTATTTTGAAAATTAGTAGTTACATCATTACACCTGATCCTAATGTTTTTTAGATGGTAATATTTAAAACAAAAGTGTTAAAAGTCATCAAGATAATTAATTTTTATTTTTATTACACATTTCAGTTAGTGTTGCGACCATTGATTCAGCAACATCTAATTAGAAGATAATTTCTTCAAATTGCTACATAGGTCCATCTATAATTGTATGTCTTGTAACTATTAGACTGTGGCTTTTACTGTACTTGCATCTCTAACATGGATATACACTTTGTTTTTAAATATTTACACATTCATTTTCAACAAAGGATTGTATTTTTTTTGTTTTGGGATTTGAGAGTAAAATATTACTATTCGTCGAAGTGTCTATACGTTTCGAGGATTTTTTGTATCCAAGATGGCTTTATTTGTTATTCTCAACATTTTTTTCTTACTTTATAATAAATTTTATTAATTTTCAGAAGAGTCAATAAATTGTTTCGAAAATATTTTCGTCTATTACTGATTACGTCAATTATCGGCTAATGTAAATTAGTTTTCATTGCGGATAAATAAATAAAATTCAATTACATAAACGGTTAAATTTTGGCCTACAGATATCGAAAGTTTTTTAAATAGCTTGTCATGGTTTAATCAAAACAAATTAAATACATATTCTTTTATATTTGTTTATATCAATTAAATAGTTAATTACACATTACATGTTGGTGAAAATACGTATGTTTTGATATATAAACATTTGCTATTTTAACTTCTCGATTTTTCTAACGGTTGATCTTAAATCATTTTCAAGTTTCTTTAGTTCAAAACCGAAATTTTTGTTTATTTTATGCGTGATAACAAAAAAGCTTTTTTCGGTTTAAAACAACCGAAAATTTAAAACGAATTTGAATATTCATTATCAAAGTTTATGAACTTGATAGTCAATATACGTTTGCGAGTCTATTAAATCAAGAATAAGACTAGTTAGTTAACAGCTACACACGCAATAAAAGATTTAAGGTGCATCAATTCTTGTTTAATGTCTTTTTCCAAGTTGGGTTGCACTTTTTGACTCTTGGCCTCAGCTTCTGCATCCAGACAGATCTATTGTCCGCGTCCAGTTTCGCATTACATATGGTATAGTAAAAGACAAGTAACCAATGAGATTTTTCGATACCACAACTTTAGTGGCTGTTATAAATTTCTTAGGATCTCCGTTTTCGCCAACTACACCAACTGTTTTAACCGGTGGGCTTATATTTGTTTCTCATTTAAAAAAAAATTTTATTTCAAATTTAATATTTTATATATGAATTGATTTTTATTGAAGTTTTTCGAAACAGTTTAGTTTATCACAAAATGTTGATTGGTAAAACTCAGAGGTTGAAAGGGAGTTTTTGCAGCTGGTTTTGGACAATTTAGTTGGTTGTTGTGTGGGAGAAAGATGTGGTTTTGATTGCGGATAAATGTGTACGGATATCTTTAGTTAAAAATAATAATTCTTCTCTTGGTTATAAAGTAGGAAAGTGTTTGTTAAATACAGTTGAATCTATTAAAGATCTCAGTGTTACGTATAATGATGAAATGATGAGTATTGTGAAAACATTTTATCAAATAATAGGTTAAATTCAACATAATTTTTTGGTTTGGATAAATTTTCATTTTTGACTTTATATAAATCTATAATCAGTTCTAAATTAGATTATGCTTCTACTATATGGTCAACAGAAGAGGAAAAAGTGAAGTTACATAAAAAGCAAAGAACATTTGGTCCAAAGAAAAATAAATGTATATTATAAATCATAATGTTTTAATATAAAACATAAAACTTAACAAGTTTGAGATGAGGTACGAATGGTGTGCAAATTATCCAGCTGATGATATTTGGGTTAGCATATGAGTAGGAGTGTAGATGCTTGAGACGTGTGTGTGTGTTTGTGTGGTGTGTGTGTCGGCGTATTACTTTTATTATTACTTGAACAATTTATGCTTTCACTTAATTAACTGTATTATGGGGATTTTGGCTTATGGGTTGTACGCCTGAGCTCATTAGTTTTTTTCTGTTTCTGTTAAAATTGGGAAATTTGATTATTGGGATGGACAAGGCATTCGGTAGTGATTCATAAAAAATAAAAATATTTACCTATATTTAAATAAAGAGATACCTTTTGAAATCTCTTTTTTGAATTTGATTTTCATGTTAGTTTCGCAATATGATCGGTCAATATAAGCTAAAAATTTATATAATAATAAGAATGTCTAAAACTGTTATTTGTATGTATATTCACTATATTGTTGAATAATATACTATACACTATGCTATTTGAGTTGCCTGGTTCTGATAACGCAGTGACCAGGTTTGAGTGCAAACTGATCAGAGCGATGTTAACATCCAGTACATGTGATTTTTTGGCTCAAGTGCGATTAAAAAATACTAAAGAGAGAGTAAGTAAATTTGAACTACTTAGAATTTAATGAAAAATCAGAATTTTTCAATTTACATGTCTGCCAACATTTAATACAGGGTACAGTTTTATGTTATTGTGTTACAAATACATATGGGATGTTGCCATCTAGTAAATGTGATGTCAACTGCTCCGATGGACAGTCCTGTGGTGGGCTGTATTCATATTCTGTCTATAAGGGTCGGCTAGAATGTAAGAACTTCTCTACGCACAGTCAATACGTCACTGTGACTACGTTCGAGTCTCAACAAATGAATCTACTAGAGCTAGAAGCTTATCCTCTTGGTGAGTGATGCATTTTTTTAAATAAAATAATTAGTAAAAATTTAATTAATTTATGCACACACGCACGCAAGCGCACGTACACACATGTCTTTCACACGTGACAGACAGACAGACAGACACACACACACACAACAACACGACCTTCTTGTTGTTGTTGTCTTACTTATATAGCAACCTTATTTCCATACACCGATTTGATTTAAAATAATAAATTACCCTCAATCGAAATGAAGAATATAATGAAACTGATAATGTTTATTCAATAACGAAAATATAACAAAGATGAAAAATTAAAAATAAATCATTTCCAGACTGTAGTATTAACAATGTAAACTGCGGATTGAATAGATGTAAAGAGATAGAATTCATTGAGAGACCACCGAAAATTGAATGCTTCAGTACAGTTATTTATTTCATTTTAGTTAAGGAATTTCTTGAAAAATTTTCAAATTAGTAATTTTTAAAGGTAGTGTCAACAATTAATTATTTAATTACTTGCTAAACTACTTAATTTCATACATACTCAATTAACTAATTAATACTAGATATAATTTGAACAAACCTCTGATGATAAATTTCTAATAAGCGAAGCAAAAACTCTTTAACCACCCATAGAAAATTGTAGCGTTATGAATGGAGGATGCGACGATTTCGTCTGCCTGGATGTTCAGCCTGATTTCAAGGAGTACAACGCTTCCGTTCGCTGCTACGAACCGGATGAAGATTTCATTACTATCCCTGAAGGTTGATGACGTCATTTCCGTTAACACCATCGTTGTCGTCTTCATCCCTAATATTAATAATATTCTTTTCGCGTACATTGTTATCCTAAAATTTGCAAATAAGCAAAATAGCTTTTCATTGCAGAAAATATTTTAACGATCGAATTGACAAGTTAAAAAAATCACTTTAATTCAATCGTACTATTATTTTAAATATTTTTCTTCAAATCTGACAGCATCTAAAAAAAAACTGAACTTCAAGGGCTGCTTTGTGGCTGTGGTCTCAGAGGAAAAAAAGGACAAAATAGGAACTGTTCAGTCCTGCTACGAACACTGCGTCCACACTGTCTTGTTCGCCATGCAAGTTTGTTAATTAATTGTATAATGATTTCTGCCAAGATCAAATTCAGCTGGAAGAGACCCCATGATCTTTATGAAAAAAGAGCTATTATAAAAGTGGTAAATTAAGTTTATGGGTTGACAACAGTTCTGTGTCTTCCCATAAATTTTTTCATTTTTACTGGCAATACTTGCGCGAACATGAAGTCTTTTCAATGAGTTAATTATGCCATTTGCTATGTCTTCCTCGTTCTGAAAATAATTAGACACTTTTGCACACTCAGACGGCTAAATGGAGCCCTGATTTTAGTTATTACCTTAAAAAAAGTTTTTTTTTATATCTTCGTTACCAAATTATTGCGTTTATTGTATTTTTTCATGAATGTTTTATTTCAGAATGCAAAATACTGCCTATGTGTCAGATCTGTTGAACATGAACTGAGCGCAAACAAATGCAACAAGAAATGTTCCGATGATCTGTCTTGTGGTGGTCGAAGGTTCTACTCCGTTTACGCGAGTAATAAATTAGTAAAATTGGTAAAATTATTCATTAACTTTTTGACTAACTATTTCTGAAATTTTAGCAAGAAAATCAGAGCCAGGCAGCCGATATTGGTTGTTTCAAAGTGGTGCAACTCGAATACCAGGAACAGCAGCCAATGTCCAAACCTCAGTGCTTGGACCAGTGCAAGCAACTTAACTACCATTTTTGAATTTGACGCGGCAGCAACCCACTGACATATCACAAAATTAAATCTCTTTCTATTCTGAAATAAAATGCTCCGTAGATAAATAAATAAACGTTATAAATAGAGTTCCGTATTTTAATTCACTGGCCAAAATTTTGTTTGAAATTGAAACAGAGCAGTTGTTCTCAAAGAATTTTCTTGCTTAGGTCGATAATTCGTGTCGATTTACGGTACGGTTCAAAGATCAGGTGAACCGGGGTCAGTGTACCGGGTCAATAAACTTTACCCTTTTGTCTGACGGTTGGAGTTTGTTTATTTTAAAATAATGGACACTGTTCTGACAAAAATAAGTATTGTTTTATCGTCAATGGATCGGTAGTCAGAGAAAAGTTTAACTTTGGTTTTTTGCCGCATTAAACTATAAAGTAATAAAGAATGGCCAACGAAAAAAAAAATAATGCGTTATTGATGTTGAAATAAAGTTATTTCTGTTATGTTTCTTATTTTTTATCATGTTCTTAATATCCCATATTGGTTCTACTGCTTTGAAATTGTTTCAGTATTCGCTGAATTCGATGCGTTCAACAATCCTCTGAAGTATCATTTCTGCCTGGATGACGTAGCTGAAAGTGTGAAAGCCTACTGTCGCTCTGGAACTTGCTCGTATGGATAGACTGGAGTCTTCTGTGATAGGAGAGGTACAGTTTTTTTCAACAGGTTTATTCAAGAAAATTGTAAAAATAAAATTATACAAAGGATAGCAAAAAAGCCATTGTATGAGATCTTAACGAACTAATTTTTGAATATAAATAAACTGTTAATTTCTTTTCAAAAGTTAAGTAGTTCAGCGTTATTAATATTATTCTTAATGTTAGAAAATTTAAAAATTAATTAATTTTATAAAGTTGGTCTGTTTTGTTAAATATAAATTGCGTTACGACAGCACGTGCAAACTGAACTGCAAATAAATACATCGCTCAAAGTTCACCCGCTTCTTCATGTGTCTACCGAAAATAAAATTTACCAATAAATTGTATAAGATGATACAATTTGGAAAAAATTTCCAACAAAAGACTGCAGTACCCAGAATGGAGCCTGCAACAAAAAATTATGTGCATTAGACAGGATGTGAATGGGGAGGCATTTGAAAGTGCCTCAGCAGGTTGGGTCACACGGTCTACAATCAAACAGAGTGCAAAAGTAGGCTCATAGAAAGACATTGTTCACTTTGTTTCGATAGAATTAACTTGATATGAATACTTTGCATATAAGCCTTTATATATTGCTTACAATCCATTGGGTTGTTTCTTCGTTCAGATGTGAATAGCAATGAATTGATTGCCAGGAGGTTACTTAGTTTTAAGAGTTATACTTTATACGGCATCCATCTTATGAAAAATTTTAATTTCTTACCTGAATAAGAAAAGGTTCCGTGCGACCAAAAATTTTGATTTCTTACCTGAATAAGAAAAGGTTCCGTGCGACCAAAAGTGATGCGTAAAATGTGCGATGCTTTTAAAGTTTAGAAATAAGAAGTTGAGATTTACAATTTTAACAAAAATCTTATTTTGTAAAATTATCATCTGTCACTACATTATAATTATATTAATAATTGCAGTAAAAATGAATGGCGATTGAGAGCACACATGCCACGGAACTACCTCTAATAATACAATTTAACATAACACAGTAACACATTGCCAGTCTAATTCTGTATATAACATTGCGACGTAACAATTAACAAGTAATGTTAATGATACCCGACCCAGAGATTCCAAAATTTTTCATATATCTCACATCCAATCTCTACATCGTGATATCTGTAGTATGTGCAGCCACGTTCCTTGCCTTCGTTACAGCCGGTGTGGGCGTGTATTTCTCTTTCTTTCGCACACGCAAGCTCCTAGGTTGTCGTTTAACGTTTGAATATTCATTTTATAATTTAATTATTTTAATTATAATTTAGTTGATTTAATTGTGAAAAATTTTGTAGAATCGAGCCTATTGAGAGTTATGCAATGCATTTTAGAAGTCATACATCAATTGATTGAGTTATTCAAATTTGAGTTAATTTTATAGAAGTTAATTAGTTTTAAGTTAAATTAATTAATTAAATAACCAAATTAATTACATTTCAGTTAATTTCATGAAGTTTAGCAAATCATTTTGAATATTTTTAAACTAGGGAAATTATTTGTATGTACGTATAAAAAATTGTTTCGTCAAAAAATAACGTTCCAGACGGACAATCAGCATCTCAGAGCAAAGAAGGTAAGTGATTTAGATAAGAAATTTTCTATGACGCTATATTTAAAAAAAGGGTTGATATGTTAAAAAATGTTAATTTATATTTGTGTTTTACAAATTTATAATGCGGTTTGCCAATGGCCTTGTTGTTTTCTTGGTATTTCTCGGGTTAATAATGATAGTTTTTATGTTGTTCAGTGTTTTAATTAAAATTGTTTTAAGATTGTGTTATTAAGGTGGGCGAAGTGATGCCCTAAAGGCTAAAGTCGCCTTATTTTACTTTACAAGTGACTGGCTTTGAATGCAGAGATATCTTAGCCCATCATATGCTAAGCGTTTCATATGCATCGCTTCAAGTGTGTACTGTATATTAGAGCCCCAAGCGGATAACCCAATGCGGTTTCAAAAAAAAAATCATCGCAAAATTTAATTTTTAATTTTTAAAAATTTTTTGTTTTTTTTTGTTTGGCACTTCTGAGGTTGAGTTTAAAAGAAAATTGCTTTAAAATGACGGTTCTATATTATAATTGTATAGAAAATGTAAAGAAAAATCTGTAAAAAAATTGAAATTTGGTTGAATTTTTTATGTTGAAATAGTTATGATTAGAATTCTTAAAAAGTTTAACATATTTAATTTTTGTATAACTTTTTGAAGGTGTTTGAAAGTACTTATGAAATAAATTTTTTTTTCTACAGAACCATCTATAGAGAATGGTTATTTTTTAATTTCTTTTGTTTTTTGTTTAAAATGTCTGGCTGACGACCTTTTTCTGGCAAACAAGGCCTTCGCGGGCCGCATTAAATAGCTTGTCGGCCGCATGCGGCCCGCGAACTTAGTTAGCCCACCTCTGGTATTAACATCTTCTACTCAAATATATGTTGCAAAAATTGTTTGGCGCAATGAAAAAAAAATGAAGATTTTACTTGCAATTAGATTTCTCAAATTTGAATTAATGAAACATGTGAAAGCTTACTATCAATGTTTTTTTTCCTTTCAACGACTTTTGTCAAAAAGATTTTCATTTCAAACAAATTTTTTTAAAATTTGTATCTGATTTTCGGTACAGAAGTTATAATACATACAATAAAGCCAAACTTAGAATGTACTGGTGACAGTTATAGAATATTTGTTCCTAGGAGGGGAATATTTTGTATTTTCAAAATTTGAAATATAAACTTTTTTTGATATATTTGTTTTTGTGAGAGCTAGGTTATTCTATTTTCTCAAAAAATATTCTCTTAATTTCAAAATTGAAATATTATGTTGACCATTTTTTCTTCCGCCAATAACTGAAAACGATTCCGTACTTCGACGTTTTACTTGACCTAGATCTCATTATTTTGCGACAGACTGACAAAATTCAAACGTCTTGGTGCCACTTCTCTCTTGATTTTCTACAACTTAACCTTGATTTTACAAACAACTGCATTATGATCTCTGCTACGATCATCTCCAGGGTAACTTTTGCATTGTAAACAGCATTTCAAAATCGTCTACTTATTGTAATGTAATCAATCATATTTCTTACCATTGCCTCCGGAATTCTTCCAAGTATGTTTCTTCCCTGGGTGATTGTCGAACTAGGCGTTGGTAATAATTTGATCATTTTTGACTCACCATTCAATAAACTTCTCTCCTCTTTTATTTCTTTCACTAAACCCATGAGGACCAATCACGTCATGTATTTTTTCTGAGCCAGTTTTGGCATTCAATTCACCAATCATAACAACAATATTTTAAAATTTACATGAATATCCAACCCCTATGAACGCTTATTTCAAATAATAACAACTAACTCCTGGAAAGTAAGTGAATTTTTTTATGTGATCGCCCAAATAGGCTGGGAATTTTAGTCAAAATGTTTATAAGAATTAAAAGTATATAAAAGTTGTTTTTTTTTCTAAAGAAAAACTAAATTGAATTTCATACAGGGAGCATTGAATCTGGAAATAAATTGATGTTTCAGAATTGAAACTCAAAGAAGAAAGATGGCAAGACGACCGCCACTGTCCAATGAAAAATTCTTCCAATAATTCATTTATATCTATATTTTTAACACCAAACGACATGTTTTTTATAAACAATTATTCAATTATTATTTACACACACACACACCACACACACACACACATACACATACACACATAAGCAAAAACACCCAGGCTTATATCCATATATTTATTGATTTATTTACTTGTTGATTTGATAAAAATTGCATTGAAAAATGCTCGAAAAAACACTTCAAAAAAGGCTCATGACTTCATTCTCACTCCAATTTATTTGTTTTGATTTTATCAGTACCGCCAACAAAATTAACTCACTACACTAATTAGCAAAAAAAAAACAAGTGTAAATACGCTTTTATTGACGCTTCGTATTTGTTTACAGTAGTTGAGAATCCTTTCAATCGAACCCCGTCACGGAAACATACGTGCATTACCGCTAGATGATTTTATATAATGGAAATTTAGTTTAGTGTTCTGTTAAATAGATTATTCAATTCAATAAATTGATCAGTTTAACAATTCTATTGTAAACATTTTTGTAAACACGTCACAATAAGATAAGCAGTAAACACATTTCGAAAATTTTGTTTATTTTTATTTCATTTATTAACGACGTGAAATTGGCTGAAGTATTTTTTCCGAAACATTTCACATAAATATATTGGTAAATGAGAACCATAACATCAACCAACTTTTATGAATAGACAAGCAAACAAACGAACCTGTTAATGAGTTGATTTTGAAAATATAATTGGTGATTATTCATCAGGCACGAGTTGTGCTTCATGGATCCGAGGAAGTTTTCCCTGTTGGTCTTCGCTGTCCTGCTTGCTTCCTACCTTCCAACGAAAGCAATTAGAAGTCTGTTTGAAATTTGTTTCTGTGAAGGTTTTTTAGCGAACGTGAAGATATAATTTAACGGTCCAAATGACTCAATAATGATTTTTTAATTTGAAGAAATTCGACAAATTAAAATAATATTTAATATTTGTTATGCTTTCCAACCAACGATTCTGTTTAGGTAAGTACAGCACACATATCAACATCCACTTCAACACACACATCAACACACACACACACACACGCAAACAAACACACTGATTTTGGAGTTGAATCTAATTTAACTTAACATCCGTAACATGAACTATAATATTAATAATTAACATTTCTTCGTCATTTTTTCTCATGTTATCATAGGAGTGAGTAAACAAAATCTGACGCTTAGGAATCATAGAGGGTGCTATAACATCACATCAGAAGGCATTCGTTTTGATAATATATTAACGCCACTTAGATGTTTCAAAATGTGTTCTGGTTTTCAATATTATGGCATGAAGGTTAGCTAATAATAATTAGGCACGTATAGTAACATATGCAAATAACTATTTGACAATTTTGTTTCACTTCACTCCATTTCAATTTCTATTTCAGCAAATAATGTTAAATATTCAGCGTGCTTATACATGCGGTTGTCAAAACATACTTGAAACTAAAGTCAAATCGACAAAATGTGATCAGCTTTGTTCTGATGGATTTCCGTGTGGGGGGAATGATTCTTTTTCTTTTTATGAAAGTAACAAGTTATGTTATAAAATCAATTGTGTTGAGTGCTAGATTTGTAGGCCGGCTCTTTTAAGCCGTCCTTCAAAGTCTCTTGCAATTCAGCTTGGTCATATTGATTTTGTGTTAATATATAAATTTGAAATAAGTTATCTTTATTGCACAACCATTATAAACACAAAATCAAATTACTTTTCATTGGTTTACGTGCAAAATTGCAGAAAACACAGTAGTTCGGGTTGGGTGTTTTAAGAAAATAGAAGTTGTCAATAGAACGGATGTAGTATCCAGACCTTCCAAATGCCCAGATGTGTGCTTCGAACAGATGTTTAAATATAGCACCTACTTTGTTAGTGATATTTTGTTTTAACTTCAGCTGCTAACAACAGCCGTTTAAAAAGACTTTCGTCGTCGAGAAAGTTTCATCCGATTCATTTTTTTTTTGTTTGATTTGTTTTTGAGATTTCTCTCAAGGTATCAGCAACCAGCGTAGGCGAGAGAGATCTCCTTGCATTCGAACCCGGCTATGCCGGGTATTTTAACAATTACACCACAGCGCTGCCCGAAACCTGAAATTATTTTTTTGACAACATTTTTTTAATTTTAAAATTTCAAAATTGATTAATTGTTTATATTAATTTTTTTATTTATAAATTTTTTTCAAAAATGGTGAATAATTTTTTTAGAAATCTAAATGTCAATGTGCACATGACTTCGCCATCAGAATTCAGGTGAAATTTAAGGATTGTGAGAGGAGCAGAGGAGCTTATATACTCTATGACGGTTAATATAAACAGTTGTTGTTGATTGTTTAAGAAATTTCCCAATAAAATTAAACAAGAAATGTATTTATGAAATAAGAAAATTCATTTATGCTGATCATAATTAAATAGCTTTAAGTAATATGTCCTAATTCTAGTCTAAGCAAATATTTTGAACTCGATCAATAAAAAAAAATTTTTTTAAATCATTAAAAATGAAGTGTTCGTTTGATGAAAGATTTATTTCAACTGCAACAGTTTCCCTAGAAACAAAAAACTACACTAACTCAACAATATACCAATACTGCCTGAATGATGAAGTAGAAAGCAGAAAGAGTTATTGTGGAACCGCAGTTTGTTTGCCAGGCTCGAGCGGAAGGCTTTGCGTTCAGAACGGTGAAGAATTTTATAAAACATTAAAATTTATGTGTATATGAACGCTTGTGGTCTTAAAAAATTTAGCGATCGACTTATTGAGCCTTTTATGTAGTATCTACATTTTTTTGCTCAATGACCGTGCAATTACTGTTCTTCCGATATTCAAAGACTATATAATGCGCTGATAATTTATTTGCTGAATGAGCGTTTCAGCAATTAAACAGCTCAATCGGTACAAGTGGCATTTCTCGTATTGTTATACGTTGTTATGACCTGGTTCAAATGCAGTCGGTCCGAAACTCGAGGTCTAACATGTGGTGTGGATGTTACAGCTTTCGTGCACGAAATTAAGACTATTATGACAATAAAATGATAGGCAAGTATTTCATCGCAAATCATAGCAGCATAATAAGGAAAATACAAACGATTATAATTTTATTGTTTCATTCATCATTCCAAGGCATAGGAGGTAGTTAGGCGATATACGTTGACCAATGGAAAAGTTATTAACCGAAAATAGGTTGTTGAACTGCTGAAATTTAAACCTTTGCTATACAAAAACTTTAACATCCACACGAAACGACGCACATGTAAACCAAAGGACATACTTGCATATTTTCAGTGCACAATCGCCTAGTGTTGAATAGTTTTAATTTTATGATAGGTAGGATTTTATTACTGTAATTTTTTATGTTTTCATATTTTTTAACTTTCAATGGTCATATTGGTTTCAATTGTTTTTATTTTATTTTTGCTTTTATTTTTTTTTCAGCGCTTCAAAAAAACAGAGTAACTACAAACTCTCGCGTTAAACCCGACGACATCTCAAACATGGAACCGACAACAAAGGTCTATGTAAACAAGTGCGAAGAGAATAATGGAGGATGCGGGGATTCCGTTTGTGTTGAGGTGGAATCTGATAATGAGGATGCACGAGTTGAATGTCACCCGCCAGATAAAAAAGTTATCGAAGTGTCTGAAAGTAAGGAAATAAATTATGGAAACGATTAAATAATACTATTTGTTTGTTGTTTTTGTTGCAAAAAAAATCGTTGATTGTTATGCGATGGTTGTTGTTGTATTTATTAAAAAACCAACCAAAAACGTCGGTTTAATTTTCCTAAAGATGAATTTGTTGTAGTTCTATTGTAAAGTTGCCAAGCATTGTGAGGACTATTGAATATGTGCATGATGAAACGTAACGGTTCTATTTCTTTTCCATCAAGTCAAAGACCTGTACAATTATACTTTCAAAAGATGTTTCAAAAAAATGAATGATAAAAAGAGTAGGCAACTGGCTCGATAAAATCGTGTTTTGATTTTTGTCTCATTTTTATATCAATTGAAATACATTTAAAACGCACATGCACACCAAACGACCACTTACACACATATTTTCCGAGCACAATCGCCCGGTGTTGAATAGATTTAATTTTGTGATAGGTAGGATTTTATTACTGCGGATTTTTCTGTTTACACATTTTTTATCTTTCAATGATCATATTGGTTTCAATTCATTTTTCCTATTTTTATTTCTCAAAAACCAAACACCACAATGACCACAAAAATACTGGGGGCACTTTCAAAAGCCACAGCAACTGCAAATACATCACTTTCAACAATATCTCAGCCATCGATTCGACAGCAATGGTTTATAAGAATGAGTGCGGCGAGTTTAATGGAGGGTGCGGGGATTCCGTGTGTATCGAAGTGACCCCTGATAATGAGGCAGATTTAAATACAATTTCTGGAGTTATATGCAATTTGCCAGATGAGGAAGTTATCGAAGTGCCTGAAAGTAAGGAATTAAATTCTATGAACGATTTTACGTTTGATGAAATATAACGGCTCCATTTATGTTTTTTCATCAAGTCAAAGTTCAGTACAATTTTACTTACTATGGGTGTTTTATAAAATTACATGCTAAAAACAAACTGGCAACTGGTTCGGTGGAATCATGTTTTGATTTTTGTAGCGAATCATTCTTCTACGGAATGAAGGTTTTATTTTTCAGAAGTTTTTTATTTGATTTTTGCAAAAACAATTATTTAAATTTGATAAAAATCCACGAAAAAATAAAAGGACAGTATGTTTTGCGTATGTGCCAACAAATTGGAGAACGAGGTTAGTGCCAACAAATGTAACAAAAACTGTACAAATGGACTATCATGTGGAGGAGCTTCATCCTATTCTGTATACGCCAGTAAAATTGCTTCGAGAATTAATACTTTTGTGTTTATGTGTAGTTTTTTTTAAAAATTTAGTTCAAACATTATTCAAACATTGAATTTTTTCGCATCAGAGAAAACAAACAGATATGTTGACCTTGGATGCTTCAAGTATTTAAAACTGGAGCATAAGCAAGACCAGTTCTTGAGCAAATCTCTTTGCTTGAACATGTGTGCAGAACTTGGCTTCCCATACAGTGGAACATCTGTGAGTTACATAAGTTAATGAGAAAGAATTGTTTGTAAAACCACGCCCATGAATGCATTGTATTTTAATTCTCAATGTCTTTTAATATTATTATCATTAATATTTTAAAAAAAAATCAGTCCGACAGACGCAGAAACTGTTACGATATACAAGGCCATAATTTAAAATTAATACGTAGTATGAATGCATAAGAATAATAAGCATGGAAACTAAAATAATTATTAAAAAAAACAAATGAATTAATGAACCAATTAATTGACCAGTTAACGACTTAATAAATAAGTCATGTGTTCATTAGAATAGAAGAATAGACAAAATTGAACAAATGACAAATATTTATTGACTGTTAATATATTTAAAGTATCTTGTGATGGAGAACTTACCTGATAAGTTGAGTGAGTTGCGACTTAATAGTTATGCTTAGGTTGACGAAGGCTGTGGGTGGTAGTTTTGATTGGTGGTAGTAGAAAATGATAACAAATTATTGAACAATGTTTTCAAATTATTTCTTCGGTAAGAGTAATTCATGCCAATGTGGACGAAAAATAAAATTCAAAGACCAAGTGAACATAGAACAATGCACGGGTTCATCGTCCGTGTATGCGCTACTGACAGACGGTGATTATCTTTTGAATAAATTTTTTAAAATGAAAATTTCTTAATTTTTTTTTGAAATTTTTACACTTCTTTTCAGTTTCGACTGATTTTGGTATTTATGACAAATCGACAAAATACAACTTCTGCATGAATGATAACTCGGAAAGGAAGAAACCATACTGTCGATCTGGTGTGTGTTTGCTGGGTTGGACTGGAGCACTCTGTAATAACAGAGGTTTGAGTGACATTTTTGAAGCAGTCATTTAAAGAATAACTAGTCTGAAAAGTTAATTGTTTTGTTTACTTTTTGAATCTCTATATTTATCAATGCCTTTATTTGTTTTTATTAATTTATTTCTTAGAGCTTTTTTATTTCATCATTGATTGAGTAGGTTTTAAGGACGCATACAGACAACCTTAATAGCGAATGGGTAAACTACATTTAAAGCAGTGAAGAAAACTTGAGAAATGTATGTGTGGGGCCCTGAAGCAAGATGGCGAAAATTTTTTTCGGTTTATACACAAGAGTTTGTGCAGTCATGCGGTTTGAAACAGCGTTTTAAATGTCAGTTTAATGTTTAACAACGTATTGTTAATAGTGACTAAAAAGTGTTGCAAACTGTGGATAACGAAGGGAGCCCAATCCAACTCTGCTAGGTTCAGCTAATTACATAAAAAACTTTTTGTGAAATTTTTTATAACTAGTAATTTTTGTGCTCGGTTCATATTTTTCAATTAAAAAGGTCTGCCTTACATTTAAGCTTTGATCGCGTTATAAATGGGCTTAGATCAGCAGTTCTTAACTTTTTTATACTTCTGTTTTACCATAACCTAACCCGAACTAAAATATTATTTCACTTTTGGCACAACTAAATAGTTAGAAAATAATTTATGTTAGAAAACTACACGTAGATAAAACATTAAATTTAATAAAATTTTGATAAAAAAAAGATTGCTACACAAATAATGGGGGCTGCAATGCGACAATGAAGTGCGTTCAAGAGATCGTCAACAACGAGATGATTGAAAAGTGTTTCTGTGAAGATGGTTTCATAACTGTCAACGGCTCTTTTTGCAAAAGTTATTCAGTCCTTTCAAGATTTTGATTAATGAATTTCTTGAAAATTACTCTTTCTACTAAAAATTTGCTCATCATTTTAAACCCAAATAAAAACAAAAAAAATTTGAAAGTTTATTACATATACACAGTAAAACAATTAATTAAGTGATGTATAAAAATTGGTCATGTTTGCTCTGAGAGACATACGAATTTTTTTTAAATATTTTAATATTTCGTGTTTTTCAAAGGGCTAGAAATGGAAGCGTCAGCAAATCCAAAATCACCTGAACGTCCTAATCTGTATGAATACATATTCTTGGTGGTTGCTGGTCTAGCTTTCATCGCAATGACATTAAGTTTGACGAAATGTGTACATTCACGAACTAGAACTAGAGAAACTAGAGAAAGAAGAGAAACTAGAGAAACTAGTTAGAAATTTTTAATACATTCTATCAACAAATATGAGCTTTTCTAAGTTCCAATTTGATATTTGGTCTCACGTCTCTGTTTGATTATCGATCTTTATTTTAAATAATTGATGGTTAAATATTTCAGACAGCAAAGTCTTTACTAAAATTAAAGTGTTCATATTTTGACTAAGAACCGAGTTATTTAAAAAATCTGTTTGTAAAATAATGTCATAATTTCGGAATGGAAATAACTAGTTTTAGTTGAAGATTGAGAATATCTGGATAATAAATTGTTTGGTTTTTAATAATTGTTAATAAGTAATTATTATTTGTACCATGTATGTCAAAGTTAAAAAATTTTGTGTTTTAAATTGAACTTTTTTTTAATTTTCACAGGACAAGCAGGTTACCTAAATTAATTTTTAATAAATTAACTCCTTCAGTTAAATCATGTTAGAACTCTTTCATGCAACGTTTTCCTCTTCAAAACAACATGTAAGGAATCACAAAAGTGAATCGGCTGGAGTGCTACTTTAAGATTGTTTTTAATAAGCTTAGAGTGTGCATTGTGAATGTGAAGTATTTCAATGTTCCATTAAAGATTAAAACATAATACAATGCAAATAAAAAGTAGGATGGACCATTCCATTTATTAATCAAGTTCAGTTTATGAACCGAAAACTAATCCGCTTAAATCGATATAGAAAAAAAGAAAAAAAAATCCAGTAACGAAAAAATAATCAACAACATTGACACTCTAAGCTCATTGAAAACATAGTTTTGTCAGAAAATTAGTTTGTGCAATTTTCATAAAAGCCTGCAAATAAACAAATTATTTAGTCAATGTTTACTGTCAGTTTGTGGTCAGAAAATGACTAGAGAATAACAATGAGCAAAACTAAAAGTCAACGACGCCTTTCATGTGAATAAAATGTGAGCACCAAACATCGTTGAGCGTTTCAAACCAGTTACTGTTGACACACATCACTGCCACCCTTCACCTAATAAAAGTTACAAGGCACCAAACCTCAACATGTCCAACCGTCCAATTAATCCAAAATATGTGTCCATTCCAAATATTTTAACTTGGTTATCAACAAAGGTTCCTTACGTGAACATGATCATATCAATGATTGGTCATTCATCACGAACAATAACATGTGATGTTATGCTAGTTATTCACCGCAAGAAATAGATGGCTTTACAAATATTTTGATTATGACTTAAATTGAGAAAGTTTTTAAGATATTTGTTTAATAAGCGCTTTAGAAATACTACTATTATAGTTTTAAATTTTTTACATATAAACATAGTTATTCATCAATTTTTTGATTCTGACATAAAATGTTTTATTTATCAAAACAGGACCCAATTCAAGAGGTAAGAGGGATCAATTCATTGATCGATAAAATTATTACTAATATAATATTGATACAAATTTTTTACATTTAGTCTAACAAATCAAATGAAAATTATTGAAGACCAATTTTAACTCGAGCATTTTAAGCAAAACATTTAATTACACGTTATACACAATTTAATTTTTATTTTTATAAAATTAATAGCAACCATTCTTCTGCCTTTAACACGATTTTTTGAAAAATTCAATGAAAAGTAACAAAAAACAAACCTTAAAGAATTAATTTGAAGTTTAACTAATCAATAAATAATTATATTTAAATAACAAAATCCTAATTTTTCTATCATTTTTATTAGCAGAAAGCGTACAATAAGATAATTCAATAAAAAGTTACGGGAAAAATACCCTAATGAACAAATTTTTACTTTAACTAATCATTAATTAATGATATTTTAATAAAAAAATTTCAAATTTTCTATCAATTTTTTCAACAGCGAGCATACAATCAGCTCTTTCAAGAGTTTCAGAAGAAGGCGATGATTGAAGATCAAGAGTGAAAATAATATAATGTGGAAATTATTTGAAATTTTTGAATTGTCCTTCATCTTTATTGTAATGAGCCCATGACGATGGTACATTGAACAAGGTGGCTGGCACTGCTGTTGCTGTTTCTGGATTCGAATGACAATAGATCCCCGCTTATCACGTGCTGATACATCTGAAAAATTAAAAAAATGTAAAAAATTGTTTTATTCAAATAATTTTTATTGATGAAAAATCTAAAAATTAAATTGATTAAATTAAATTTTTAATTTACATTTGGATAATTCATTAAAAAAAAATCTGTCAAGTTTCGATTAAAACTAGTCTCATCCTTAAATAAACATATTATAAATCAAAATAAAAAATTATTATTAAATAGTTATCATTATTTCGCGTTCCTATTTGTTTAAAAATAATAAATTATCAAATAATTGTATCTAGCTGGAATAATTTTCTTATTTTCAAATTTTACTCAAAATAGAAACGAGATTAAATTAATTGTTGTTGTGCTATAATAATTCATACCAAATCTTATACTTGTACGAAACTAACTACGTTGAGCATACAGCATAACCTTTCAAAGACTATTTACTATTTTAGCAATTTATTATGAACTAAATGTTAAAAAAAAATAAACGAATGCGATATATAGGTCTAGGTATTTTGAAAGAAAAATGTCGAAATTCCACAAAAACAGTTGCTCTGACCCTGTTCTAATGATTAAAAAAATAATTTAAAACATTCCTTTCTTCATGAAAGTTTCAAAAATGTTGATAGTTTTAATAAAATGATTTTTTTTAAATCAAACATTCGACTAGTTTTAAAAGCGCGGTTTTCGCGATGTTCAACAGCTCTCTTCAATTAATATCACAAACAGACGGATCTTGAGATCCGCTCTAAACTTCTTGAGTTATGAAGAAGTAGTAAAAGAAGGAGGTAGAAACTTCCAGAGTTCCAGAGAAAGCTATCAGAGAAGTAAACGCTGATTTAGACTAAAACTTTACCGTTACTCCATTCTGTCGCCAGAGTAGTTTATACAACTAGAATTCGATTCAATATTTATTTCATATTTTTTTGATGACGTCACAATAATAATAAACAAAAAACAGTTTTTAAATTTTAGTATACTTACTTTTACTTCGTTCCATGAAAAATATAAAAAAATGTTTTTCCAAAATCAAATGACATGTGTAACATCAGCCAACTTTTATAAATAGACGTGCAAACAGACGATGCGATGGATGAGTTGATGTTAAAAATATAAATGGTGATTATTCATCAGGCACGAGTGGTGCTTCATGGATCAGAGAAAGTTATCTCTGGTAGTCTTCGTTGTCATGTTTGCTTCCTACCATCCAACGGCAGCAATTGAAAGTATGTTTGAAATTTGGTTTCTGTGAAGAATTTTTTAAATACACAATCAATTGAAAATGAAAGTATAACATAAATTCTATTAATTTGAAAATTTGAAAATGATTTCGAGCTTGTTAGGACTTGATCAATCAAACTCGAATCTTTTAGACTACGAGAAACAAAATCATTCATTATGAGATCGGATATTTGATTGAAAATGAAAAATTTTCTAATTGGCGATTCTGTTTTTAGTTACAAACACTCACATTTTTGAGGTTGATTTTTGATGTTTATTAACAAGGTGAATTTATCAACGATTAATTTCAACTTTTTTTTAATCATGTTTTCATTTAGGCGTAAATCAAACTCTATTGAGGTTTAAAAACTACAGAGGCTGCTATGTCGGCCATGGTTTTCATCGTTCAACATATTCTTTCACATCCATAAATAGCTGTTACACTCAGTGCAAACCATCCAACAGTTCATATTATTGCATGAGAGTTAGTTTATTATTAAATTAAATAAGTAATTTAAGAAGACAATATTTTGCAAATTTTGTTTTAACTTTATTCAATTTAATTTCTATTTCTAAATGTTTTTTACGGTTTCAGGATAAAAGAACATGCGTTTGTAATACCACTCATGCAAACAAAGTCGATACTAAAAAATGTAATCAACGTTGTTCTGATGGCTTTCCTTGTGGAGGGAATGGATTCATTTCTGTATATGAAAGTAAAATGTTCTGTTGTAAAACCAATTTTATTGAGTGCTAGTTGTGTCTGACGACTCCTTCTAGCTGCCCTTTAAATTTTATTGTAATTAAGCTTGATTTTATTATATCTGAGAAGATTTATAAGCGCCTCTAGCGAGTTATCTTTAGAAAAGCTGTCTATGCAGCATTTTGTTGAATTTTTGCTCTTGTTCGCTTGTTAAATTTTTTCGGTTGGTTGTAGATATGATATTTTAGATTTCAGTGAATGCTGGTAAAAGACCATAATTAAAGCAGTAATTTATGAAATCTACCGAAATTCTAACGTTTGATAGTTTTTAATTACATTTCTCAATATTTCTAACCAAATTCTTGTCGTCATTATCTTTTTTATTAAAGTTAGAATAATATACAGTTTTCCAATTTATTCTCGAAAGTATAGGACTTAATTCTATTTTAAATCATTTTCAGAACTTGTTGCAGTTTATATAATTGAAAAAACTTTAACCAATTTTAATAAAAATCAAATTAATTTTTATCATTGGTTTATTTTATCACGTACAAATTTCTAGTAAACCAAGTTGTTCTGGTCGGTTGTTTCAATCACGTCTCGTTTCGTTCGCTACACAACTCGTCGATTTTTGTATCATCCGAAAACATATGCCAAGAAACATGCTTCAAAATGATGCTTAAATATAGCTTCGTGTCAAAAGTTAGTTAGCAAATTTTTTTTACTTTTTGTCATATTTAGTTAATTTTAATTTAAGATATATTTAAAATAATAAAATTAAAGGTGCAGAATTTTACAATATTTTAAAATTTGTATTTATCTGAACGCATGAGCTCTTACAAATTTTAACGAGTTACCCAATGAGCACTTTGTATGATGAGAAAAGCATTTTTTCCCAACTTATTTGCTGAATGTGCGTTTTACCAATTAAACCTAGCTCCTTTGGTAGATGTGCCATTGTTTGCGTTAGAACTGCCAGCCGTATATTTTCTGAAGTTTCAAATGACTTACAAAAATTTCATCTGAAAATTCGGCGGCGGCTAACAGACAAATAATTTAGCGGCTTATCTGGCTGACGGATGGTGATCAAAATACTTGTTTAATTATGTTCAACCGTGTAATTGATATTGACTTTTTAAATTAATTTTAAATACAAAAAATAATTTTCAATGTTATTCAAAATCAATAAAGTTTATTTCAAAAATGGTTACACCTTTTCTTTTTTGTCCACAAAATCCTCAACATTTTTATCACCATCCTTAATAATTAATTATAATGAACATTCAATTGTAAATTGGATATCATCAATTGTCTCACCAGTTTTATACAAATAGTCAATTATTAGAAACGCACTGCAATCTTGATGTGATTGAAATTATCAAATAGGAAAAAAAATCTCTACATTGTTTGATATCAATGAAAATCTTTTGCTATTGCGGATAAAGGCTGAAATTAATGACAATGATTCAGCTAATATAATTATTTTAAGAATATAATGTTTACTATTCTATTGAACAAAATTTTTCAAATTTGTTAAAAAAAAACAAAATTTATTGAAAATTTCTTTTTTGTCACAATTAAACGTTTTATAAGTCTAAAATTAACATCTTGTGGCTAGTTCGGCTAGCCAAATAATTATTCTTCAGCTAACGGCTAGCAGAAAATATTTCTTTTCGGTGTCTAAGGCAGTGGATGACAAGTGGTTTGATTCAATTCATATGTAAATTTGTTTTCAATTATTTGGTAAATTGTTTAATGGCCCATTATTGAATATCTTTTCGCAAAACATCAACCAACATTGTATGTTGGAAGAGTCGCAGACATATTAGCCGGCGGGTTACTTACTTAATCGGTTGGTACATTTGGAATTCATATAGGCGATTTTTAAACTTTGAAAGAAAGACATGTGTAACTTTGCTTTGTTAATGAAAACTGCCTAATAGTGACCACAGAAATTTAAAACGAAAAATTAATAGTTGAATTATGTTTATTATTTTATAATTATAAACTTTTATTTATTATGAAAAATCGCACGAAAATCTTTGAGTTGAAGAACATTTCTAACGCAAATGCCACCAAACGAGGTACACGCATATCATCCGAGCCCAATCGCCTGGTGTAGGATAGTTTTAATTATAGGCCAGATAGTATATCATTACTGCAGATTTCTGGTTTAAATAATTTGTATCTTTCAATAGTCATATCGGTTTCCATTGTTTTCATTTAATTTTTAATTTTTTTTTTACTTTTTCTCAGAAGCCACAAAAACAACACAAACTTTGGCAGTCCCTCTCACCGACATCTCAACCGTAAAACCAACTACAATGGTTAATATGAACAAGTGTGGCGTGAACAACGGAGGATGCGGGGATTCCGTTTGTGTCGAGGTGGCACCTGATAATGAGACAGGTGTAGAAGCAAATGCTGGAGTTAAATGCTATCCGCCGGATAAAGAAGTTATCAAAGTGCCTGAAAGTAAGGAAATACAAACTCTGTTTTTGAACATTGATTTAAGCTTGTGGTTTACTTTAATATTTATATATTTTTATTTGTAATAATTGATCTGGGATTCTTTTTTTGTGTTCGTTTTTACGTTTTATAAAATGAAACTTGTTTATGAAAAAGAGAAATTAATTATAGAAAAAAAATGACTAATACTATTTTTTTGACGATACATAACAGTTCTTTTATTTGTTTTTCAATCAAGTCAAAGTCCTGTACAGATATACTTACAAAGGATGTTTTGAAAAAATGCATGCTAAAAAAGAACTGGCAACTGCTTCAATAGAATCATGTTTTGATTTTTGTAGTGAATCATTCTTATATGGAGTGAAGGTTCATCTTTAGTCTTTTTTTGCAAAAGAACAGTTTAAAAATTCGCCAAACAAATCAAAGGACCGTAAATATTGCGCATGTGCCAACAAATTGGAGAACGAGGTTAGTGCCAACAAATGTAACAAAAAGTGTAGAAATGGACTATCATGTGGAGGAGCTTCATCCTATTCTGTATACGCCAGTAATATTGCTACGAGAATTTATTTTGAGTTTATGTATAGTTTTTTTTAAAATTTAGTTAAAATAAAATTGAATTTATGTTTGAATGTTTGCTTATTTAGTTCAAACATTGTCAAACATGGAAATTTTTTGCATTAGAAAAATCAAACCAATATGTTAACGTTGGATGCTTCAAGTATTTAGAACTGGAAGATAAGCAAGACCAGTCCTTGAGCAAATCTCTTTGCTTGAACAAGTGCAGAGAACTTCGCTACCCATACAGTGGAACTTCTGTGAGTTACATAAGTTAAAGGAAAAAATTTTTATGTTGAATCACGTTCATGAATGCACCATTGTATTTTATGCCTGAATAACAAACAATAGAAACAAATGAACCCTCAACATGTATGTGCCAGAGCGTTAATTAATTTGTTTCATTCTTTATTCTATTGATAAGTTGATGTTTTCAAATAATGTCTGTTGAATCATTCATGCATTATGGACAAGTAAAAAAAATTTCGGCTTGTTCACACGATGGGATGTTACCGATGAATCGATTAGAAACATTTCACTACATACATAAACAAACAATCGTGTTTGTTTCTTTATGTTTCTGTATTCTGAATTATTTTCATTATATTATTATTATTTTTGAAAAAAAAATCTGTGTCTAACAGGCACAGAAACTGTTACGACGCGCATGACCATAATTTAAAATGAAAACGGGATTACGATTATAATAGACAAAATTGAACAAATTATAAATATTTATTGAATGTTAATATATTTGAGTCGTTTTTCATGAGGGTCCTATCCTGATAAGTTGATTGAGTGATGATTGATATTTGTGTCTAAGTTGACGAAGGTTGAGTGTAGTAGTGTTGATGGTAGCAGTAAACGATGACGAATTCTCGAACAATGTTCTCAAATAATATCTTCGGCAAGATTGGAACATGCCAGTGTGGACATAAAATAAAATTCAAAGACCAAGTGAACATCAAACAGTGCACGAGTTCATCGTCCGTGTATGCGCTACTGACAGACGGTGATTATCTTTTGAATAAATATTTTTAAAGAAGTATATTTCTTGGAGATTAACTTTTAATTCTTTTCAGTTTCATCTGATTTGGATGTTCATGACAAACCGACAAAATACAACTACTGCATAAACGATAAAATGGAGAGTAAGAAACCGTACTGTCGATCTGGTGTTTGTTTACTGGGTTGGATTGGAACACTTTGTGATAAAAGAGGTTTGAGTGACATTTTTGAAGCAGTCATTTACAGAATAAATGGTTTTAAAGTTCAAAAGTTTAATTGTTTTATATTAGTTTACTTTTTGGGGCTTCTTGGAAGTTTCAAGAACGGCAACTTTGACAGGCAAACTACTTTTGGGGCTGGAACAAAACATAAAATTTTTTTGTGTGAAAGGAACTTAAGCAAATTGGCAAAACGTTTTACGGTTTACGCACAATAGTTTGTGCAATCATGGAATTTGAATTAGCATTTTTATTGTCTGTAAAATACTCAACCACATATGCTGGCAACATTTGAAAATAATGACCAAAATGGTTGTCGAACTGTTGATAACGAAGGGAGCCCAGTCCACATCTGCTAGGTTCAGCCATTTGCATAAAAACTTTCTGTGAAAACTATCAAAACTAGTGATTTTTATGTTCGATTCTTATTTTTGTTTTTTGGTTTTAAAAGTCTGCCTTACATTCACGCAAACATTTATAGCTTTAAAAGCGTTATAAATTCGCTGAGATTAGCGATTTTTATCTATTATAGTACTTCTGTTCTACCATGACCTGAGGCAAACTAAAATATTATTATGTTTTAAGAATAACTAATTAGTTGGTCTAGAAAGTATTTTATGTTAAAAAACTATACGTAAATAAAACATTAAATTTAATGAAATTTTGATAAAAAAAGATTGCTACACGAACAAAGGGGGCTGCGGTGAGATAATGAAGTGCGTTCAAGAGATCGTCAACAACGAGATGATTGAAAAGTGTTTCTGTGAAGATGGTTTCATAACTCTTTCTGCAAAAGTTATTCAGTCCTTTCAAGATTTTGAATATCGAATTTCTTGAAAATCACTCTTTTTATACAAATTTTTCTCATCATTTTAAAATAATTATAAAAAAAAACAAAAATTTGAAAGTTAATACTGTTTAAGAAATGCTACAGTTAGGTGAGCTATAGACACGGTCATATTTGCACTGTGAGACATGCATATTTTGTTAAAAATTTTTTAATACTTCTTGTTTTTCATAAATAAAGTGATAAAAGCGTAAATGAAAACATCTTCTGATCTGTACATCACTTTGACAGTGGTTGGTCTTGCTTTCATCGCACTGACACTGTCTTTGGTGAAATTTGTAACCAAATTAGAACCAGAGAAACTGGTTAGAATTTTTTTAATAACACATTCACTCAACATTTAGCGGCTTTTCTCTGTTTGATTTTCAATTTTCATCCTAAATTGTTGATGGTCAAATATTTCTGACGGCAAAGTTTATATGCGTAAATTATTTATCAATTTGTTCATTCTGGAATCTCCTAACTATTTATTTTATTTTCCAAAACAGGAACAAGTTTTAGAGGTGAGAGGGGTTAATTTTTTGATAGTTAAAAAATGAGCACCAATAGTTATACATATTAATATAAATTGTAGTGTTTTATTTTAACACTTAGCCAAACAATCAAAGGAAACTTATTTAATGAACAATTTCAGGCCAAAACATTTTCAAACAGAACATACAATTCATTTTGATTAATATAATATTTTTAAACTTTAAAAGTTAGTAGCATGCTTTTTTCTTTCTGACTTGGACTAGATTTTTTGATACCAATCAATGAAAAATTACGGAAAATGATTAATAAATAAATTTAAACTTTAATCAATAAATAATGAAGTTTAAATAAAAAAACTTTAAATTTTTCATATTTTTTCTTACAGAAAGCATACAATCAACAGTTTCATCAAATTCAAATTCTGATCAAGTCGATGTCATTGAATAAGTTGACTTTCACTGCTGTTGAAGTTACTGGCTTCAAATGCCATTAGATCTATGCTTATCACGTGCTGATACTTTGTTTTATTTTACTGTTTTAATGTTTTATTTCAAAAAATTTTATTAGTCTAAAATTCAAAATTTAATTTGATAAAATGAATTTTTCATTTTACATTTGGACATTTCATAAACAAATCTGTCAAGTTTCGAGTGAAATCAACCTATTTATTATTTCAAGTTTTGTTTGAAAATAATAAATTTATTAAAAAAAATGCATCTTGGAAGGTGTTAGGCAAGGCTGTGTATTTTTTCAAGACCTGTACGATCTCTATAGAAAAATCATCATGAGAAAGATAGATAGGCCATTTGGAGCCGTGAATACGAACAATGTAAAACATGCAAATGATATTGTTCTTATAGCAGATTCAATGAAGAATCTGCAAACAATTGTTTCTAAACTGGTTTTTGAAAGTGATAGGAAAGGCTTAAAAATTATCACCAACAAAACAGAGTGAATAGTTATCGGTAAAAGCAAAACTGCTCCGATCAGCTTCATAATCTTTAACGGTAAACAGGTGAAACATGTCAAAAGCTTCAATTATCTTGGAAGTTCTGATTACCTCAAGTTGTAGATGTGATGTAGATATCAAACGAAGAATAGCTATGGCAAAAGATGCATATTCTAAAATGAAAAACATCCTCACCAACAGTCAAATCAGAATATCAAAAAAATTAAAACTGTTAGGGTGTTACATTTTTCCTGTGCTAGCTTACGGCTCTGAGTCCTGGACAATTTCTAAAAAAATAGGTAAAAAGATCAACGCTGCCAAGATGTGGTTTTTGAGAAGAATTATGAAAATTACCTCTAATGAGAATGCATTAAAACAGTCCGGTTATGAAAAGAGGAAATTACTACGAATAATCCGACGGGGCAGTTGAAGTTTTTTGGTCACATCATGCGAAAGGAAAGATTGGAAAATTTAATAACTACTGGAAAGATTGCAGGGAAAAGAAATCGCGGCCAACAATGTATAACATTAGAAAGTCTTTGTGTCATCTGTTGAATATCACCTCATTTCAACTACTACAAAGAGTTGAAGATCAGTTTTTGTGGAAGTCGATGGTCGCCAATGTCCTGAAAGGATAAGGCGCGAAGAAGAAAGAAGACAATTTTAGGTTCGAACCGGCTTTATTATGAATATTGATAAAATTAAATGGCAAAGTTCGAAATTAGCTGATGTTGATTAGCTAAGATCTTCCTACTCTTTAACGAGAAAACTATTAATTGTAAACTGGTGACTTTTATGACAAATTGTATTGAAAAAAATCCTGATGTAGAATTTAATTACGTCAGATTCTGCGAAGCGCGTTGGTAACAGTTAATTAGTTGTGTACGCGATGGTATCATGGTTAATGTGCCTGGCACTGGTGTTGAAGTGCCTGTGTTAAAAAGCAATAAGATCCCATCTTGTATATGCCGCATGTTTAATGCTTTGATTTACTTGTTCTTACATCCGCTGTGTGTTCGTAGAAAAAATTATTCATAGTAGAGAATGTTCTTTTTGTAAAGTAATTTTGTTCAATTTAAAAAAACCTAACAAGTGCGTTTCTAAAGTTGTTTTTTTACCAAAAATTTTGTTAAAATTAATTATTATAAGTTTCAAATGAAAATTTGTTTGATGAATCTAGAAATGTCAAGATAATCGTCAATGGAATGTTTTGATAAAAACTGAGATAAAAAAAGGTTTTGTAATTTCAAGAATCAGCTGATGTTCTTTCACCTGGAAAGTGTAATAAATTTTGAAAAAAATATTTCCTTTTGAATGATTTAAATTAAGCAATTGTAAGTATTTTTGACATTAACGTACGCCCTGGAACAACTCCATCTGTGAATTTGTGGAAAATGTCAATGAAATTACTAATTATTTAAAATATGCCTTCCATATAATTTTAATTTTTCAATTAATTTTTGAAAAGTAAGCAAATTACAAATAACCAGTAAAATATTTTAGTTCCATATTGTGCCAGTTGAAAGTATGTTATATTTTCTGATGTTGATATATATCAATTCAATTTAAAAAAAAAAAAAAAAAAAACATTTGGCACGTATGCGATATGGTTCTTTAAAAACTACGAGCGCTGATTTTAGACCAAAATTTCAAATATTCAAAATGTTATTTTATTAAGTATTCCAAAAAAAGAATTCGTGGCATACAAACCTGTGCTAGATTCATCTCCAAAGTTGTCTAATTGGGAATAATATTTCATTTCATGGGTGAGTACATGAGTGAGTATAAAAAAATATACTGTTATAACCGTTGCATTAGTCGAAATGCTGTTTTGCAAATCGCACTATATAATTGTCTTAAATCGATTGTTCATATATTGGTTTTATAATTCTAAGCTTTAAACTGATACTTTTCTGGTGCAATCGATTGTAAATAGTTAGGCTGGAGTTGTGAATTATTAAGTTGAGCTACCGGTGAATTAATGGCAATCGTGCAAGCGTATTGTTGTTGGTATTCAAGTAAACGTTTAAACATGTCAGTGTTTGAAGTAGTTGTGTTTATCGGCCAGAAATCAGTGTGCTTTTTGGAGATCCAATAAACTGACAATAGTGCAAGTTACAACAATATGATGATTTTGAAACTTTCAAAGTTTAAATTGAAACGATTATAAATAAATTCTTAACTAAATATCAATTTCACTATCTAAAGAGTTTTTTTTCTTTTATATTCGTAAAGTTTTTGTCTTTGTAATTTTTGTTTGTATATTGATTTGGTTTTAAATGCGATGGTTCGCTATCGCTAGTTCTGCTTTGGCTACTAAGTTTTTTGTATTCAATCAATTATTTCATCTGACTGAATGCCAAAGTTTTAGTTAAACTTCATTAAATACTAAAATCAAATACATAAAAGTAGATATAATTTATCAATAAAATCTGTTAATTATTAATAAAATCTGCTAATCATGACAATTTACTGATATAATTAGTTTATAATTTAATAATCTAATTTGTTTTTATGAAAAAATAATCTCATTTTAACCTGACAGCTCCTTCTTTGAACATTTCACGGAAACTAGGATGAATATAATCGTTGCTATGCCACATATCGCTATCGCGGAGTAGATTAAATTATCTCTTAGTCTGGCATTATCACTTATTCTGGCTATGTCTGCATTTTCAAAAGTTATTCCTAAGGTGAATATTATTCTCCGTTGTGAATTTAGACAAATGTTTGCAAAAATTTACAATAAAACGTTCTTGATTTTGAAAAACGCTGTCTTAAATACAGATAGACAAAAATATAGTTGTTACAAAAAATTTACCAAAATACCTGATGAAATTAATAAAAATATCACGAAGTAAGGTAAAAATAATGGCAGATTCCAACCTAGGCATTCAGTTCCCATATACGATACTAAATTATCCTTACAGATACACTTTTCCCTCATGACGTTGTTAACTATTTCTCGTGTGCAGTCCATCCTGGAGTTGCAGCCCCCATTATTCTTATCACAATCTTTGGATCAATGCATTTTCAATACATGTTATATCATACATGATATATGATATACGATACATGATATATGATATATGATACATGAAGTATGATACATGATACACCATATATGATACATGATATATGATATACGATACATGAAGTATGATACATGATACACCATATACGATACATGATATATGATATACGATACATGAAGTATGATACATGATACACCATATACGATACATGATATATGATATACGATACATGAAGTATGATACATGATACACCATATACGATATATGATATACGATACATGAAGTATGATACATGATACACCATATACGATACATGATATATGATATACGATACATGAAGTATGATACATGATACACCATATACGATATATGATATACGATACATGAAGTATGATACATGATACACCATATACGATACATGATATATGATATACGATACATGAAGTATGATACATGATACACCATATACGATATATGATATACGATACATGAAGTATGATACATGATACACCATATACGATACATGATATATGATATACGATACATGAAGTATGATACATGATACACCATATATGATACATGATATATGATATATGATGCTTGATGCATGATACTTGATGTATTAATTATGATGCATCATACGTGATACCTAATATAAATGTCCCATTTATAGTAATTCTCATTCATAAACAATGATTGATTAATCGTTCTCTACAAAAAGTTAGCAAATAATATTTCATTTAAGCCGGTTTTTTTGGATTTACAGATTAATTATAGTTCTCTTAAATCTATTTTTAAAAAATATCGCAGCGGCGTTGTTTTTTTTTTGCACATTTGAAAATTTTAAGAAATTTGAAACTTCTATTTAAAGAAATAAATTCTCAAGTCATTGTCAGGTAATTAATTAATTAAATCAACTAAATTATCAATTAAATTATATTTCAGACCCCTTTTATCGCAGAGTGTTCCAGTCCAACCAGACACACAAACACCTGATCTACAGTGGTTCATCGTACTTTCTATCATATCATTGATGCAGTAATTGTATTTCGTCGGTTTTCCTTGAGCGTCTAAATCTGGTGAAACTGCAAAAAAAATAAATGTATATGGGTCTCATTCAGAAACTTAAAAAATCTTCCTATAAAGTGAACTCTCCTCTCAATTCATATTAAAGTGTTCAGTAATATTTTATTTCTTATCTGATTGGGTTAAGTTTCGAACTAAAAGATGCTTACAGAACATTTGCAAAACTTTCAGAACTTACTAAACATTTGCTTGCAGAAATATTGAAATATCAGCTATGGTTAAATGTTCACGGAAAATTTATTTGAAATTAATTTAAGTTGTATTCACCGTCGGTCAGTAACACAAAAGCAGAAGATTCTGTGCACTGCCTGATACTCACTTGATCCTTGAATTTCAACCTTTTGCCACATTGACAGGTATTAGCCTAACAGAAAATTAACTTCGACTTTCATATTTTCAAATTTATAATTGCTTGAGTAAAATACATTCAAGTCAGTTTCTTTTATATTAATATGACTATGAAAAATATGTTTTTTAACAAACATTCGTTCCACTGTATTGAAAGCCAAGTTCTCGGCACTTGTTCAAACAGAGGGTGTTGTCCAGTGAATGTTGATGTTTATGTTCCAAATCCAAGTATTTGAAACAGCCAATTTCAATAGAAGCATTTGTTGAGTTTTCTGTTGATTTGTATAGCTTATCTATTTGTCTACCTATTTATCCGTCTGTCTATATCTATATCTGCTTAACCATCTATTTATTTATATAACTATCTATCTAGCTATTTATGTGTGATAATATATATCGATTCAGAACATGTAAATTTTACATGAAACAATAGACCAACTAAAATTTAATTAAATTTTAAATAATATGATCCTTCAGATTTTGAAAAATAGTTATAATAATGGAGGTTTTACTGGCATAAACAGAGTAGAAAGAACTGCCTCCGCACGAAAATCCATCCGAGCAAAGTTTATTGCATCTTTCAGCACTAACCTCGTGTTCCACGGTCTTTGCACAAGAGCAGGTGTCACTATTCTGATTTAAATGAGTTTCTAAGTCAATCAAGACCAAAAATGTTTGCGGTTTGTTAAAAAAAAGTTAAAATTTGAAATTGGATAAATATAAATTGAAAACAAGTCACCTTCATGCCGTAGAAGAATGTTTCTTTACAATATTCTAAGCATGAATTTACCGATTCAATTTTCAACTCTTTGCTCGAATGCATTTTAGCAAAACAACCTTTGTAATTCATGTTTCTTTCAACGACAACTAATGTAAATGAACATTTAACTAGAAATAATTCTTTCAATCAATTTTATGTCGATAACATTCAAGCGAGTGAAATTTCGTGAAATCTTTTGTAACCTTCTGACGACATAAAAAAGTTCTCATCAGGCGGGTAGCATCTGATTTCAGCCCCTTCCCCATTGTCAGGCCCCGCCTCAAAACAGATTTGCTCACCACATCCGCCATTGTTCTCCCTGCAACCTCTTACTTCTATTTTTAAAATAATGCTTGCTGGACATTTTTCATCTTGTTTGTTTGTTTTTTAGTGTGTATTTATGTATGTGTGTATGTATAATCGTATGTTTGTGTATGTGTGATGTGTATGCGTGTGTGTGCGTGAGTGTGTATATATATATTTTATCTTATAATTCACCAGATATTTATGTATGTGTTTATGTACGTATGTATGTACGTTTGTATGTATGTATTACAGTAGGGGGGAATGTATGTATGTACGTAAGTAAGTATGTATGTATGTTTGTTTGTATGTATGTATGTACGTATGTATGTATGTATGTATGCATGTATGTATGTATGTATGTATGTCTGTATGTATGTATACATATGCATGTATGTATGTATGACATATACATGTATGTATGTATGAAATGAAAATTCTCCATCCATTCCAACTTACTTCCGTATACTGAGATATGACTTTTTCCGCCACATGCCTTGCCATCAAAACAAGTTACGTTACATTTACTTGGGCTTACCTTGGTCCCAAGAACATGTACACAAACACACGATTGTTTGCCCTGGTTTGTTCAAGATTTGTTAAACGAAATAAAAATACAGTAGAGAAACTGCAACTTTTGAAAAGTTTTCATCTGCTGGAATTTATTTTTTTATTCAAATAAATATCCAACTTGAAATCCGAAAAAAGGTTTGTGTAAACAATGTATCGAGCACGCGAGAAATGATTCAGTGGTCTGACTCTCAATAAGACGCGTACCAGCATAGCATCCTATGTAGTTTGCCAGGGTAACCATGGTTTCATTCTTTTCTAATGAAATGTAATTTGTAACGTTGGTTTTTAATTTGCTCTCTGATGTCAAAGTCCATGAGTGCATGGAGAATGAATTTATTTAACTTTTTTTGGTGTAGGTCTTACATTTTTATGGGGAGTTAATGAAAAAAAAGAAGAATCATTGTTGAATAAATTAATAGTTGAAGTTAATGTTTGCATCCTGCAGACTACGTTTCAACGCAAATTCAACGCAATTAAAAAATACAATTACCTAAACGATTAAAATGTGCATTTCGCAATTAAAAAAAAGTACACAGATCAGTTGTATTAAAAAATAAGAGGTTGTTTTGAGGCATTTTTGCAATTAAATACACTTAAATAAGTGTATAGATGTCACCAACCAGGGTTTCTACTGCAGAGAAGAGCAATTGCTTCTAATTTAAATTAGGAGAACAAATATTATTATAAAAACTGGTTCAAACTGTTTTTTCTTTTGCTCACCAGACAATTTTGTATAGTTTTTCAAATTACTTTTATAGAACCAGTGTATTTAGGATAACGTTTATTTTACTCTAGCTTACTGAGGTAAGTGGAACTGAAACAGACAGAATTGTGCAAGGGGAGTTATTTTGGTTTTCAACGTTCAATAGGAGATTGACACCACAGTCGGTCACCAAATATATTTTGCACTCACCAAAATATACTAGTGGCGCCCATAAGCTAAGATAAATGTTTTATCCAATAATCCATTGTTATTATCTTCAAATAAAAGCAAAAATTCTAAACAAACTCGTTTCGGCCACAGTTGAATATAGCAGCAGCAGTCCAACATTAAAAACAATCTGGAATAATTTTCTCGAAGTCAGGTTACATAACAATGTTAACATGGAAAATGCTTTTTTCAAGTGTTCAAAATCATTTTATACGATGTAAACGCCTTAAAAGTTGTTTGTTTAAGAATAACTTTCAAAGATGTAGATAATTTTCGATGTTTCAACGAATATTTCGATCAAAACTTTAACCGAAGCGTTGTTTATTTACTTTTTTCAAAAGTGACGGATTAAAAAAGTTAATTTTTTAAAATAAAAAAAAATTAAATATCCATGAAAAAATTGAGAACGTGAGTTAAAAAAACTAACCATTCAAAAAAGAACAGCATTATTATTATGTTAAATTAAACCTAATAGAATATAAATATAACAGAACGCCTAGACAAAATTTTAACCATTTCTTTTTGGACCAACTGAAATCAGAGTAACAAGTAGATGACAAAAATCTTGTGAAATTCATTTATATTTAGAGATGTGTCTCAATAAGCAAACTGTAACAGTGACGGATTTGAAGCAGAGACCAACATGGTACCAACCTAGGGCACTAAAAGGCAGTCCATCAGGGATGTCCAGCTTTGAGTAGGGGTAGCATGAAACATTATAAGTTGTTAGTGGGGGCTCTCAAAAAATTTGGAAATATAAAAATTAGTGACACGATGGGTATAAAATTGTGTGACAGTTTGTGGCTGGGAGTTAGGGGAAGTCCATAAAACGCAAAATAAACGTGGAATTTCTTTTGGACATTCTCAAAGCAATTAAATCAAACATTTGTGCACATAGAGAGAGAAAGAAACAAGAAGAAAGAGAAAGAGAGAGAGAGACAGACAGAAAAAATGAGAGAGAGAAAGAGATTTGGGTCATTTACTTTATAACCCAAAAATAAGTTTGAATATTTTCTATAGAAACACTTTATCATTTATCCACGTCAATGTAAACACAAACATAAACAAATTTCACATAAGAAATTCATTAGTTTTTAATGTTGATTTATTGAGCTGCTCAATTTTTTAGGAGTTCAATGATGCCTTTTTTGGATTTTTGTGAAAATTATGAGTTATGCCAAATTGTTTGACCTACATATTTTTTTGCGTGGTTTTATCTTCGCGATGTTCATCAAGTAAGTGTGTGAAATTTTTTCGTTTAAATTCATGAAATTTAATAAAAATATCATTCTGATTAATTTTTTAAATAAAAAGTGATTAATTTTTTCTCAATTTCAAAAATCATATATTACAATCTAAATTATTTAAATTTAAAATCAAATGAGTCACCTTTAATTGCATTGATTCGTGCTTATTTGTGTGCTGCTGTTTTCAAACTATAAACTTGCTCGCGTGTTCGATAGTTCAACATTCATAAAGAATTCCTTCAACCTACAAACATATTTCACTATGTACTATTAAGGAAGCGCGCTCAACTGCTGAAAACATAAAGTTATAAATTTGTATTCTCTATTATATCATCATTAGAGACATGATATACCTATTTGAAAACAGTTTTTTCTCAGTTAAAAAGTTGAAGATATTTTGTATATCTGCAAAAATTTGATAAACTGGCCAGATGAATACGTTGGCTGTTACAGACACGTTAATTTTGTATGGAAAACAACTACCGTGCAATCTGTAACTGAGTGCATATCAGAATGTATGACCATGAGTTCTCCTGTACAAACTGCTCTGCTCTACAAAAATGTTGGTTCATAAATTAGTTAGTTCAAAATATCGTGTGTAACTTTTAAAACTGTTTCTATTTTCCAGTTTTCTTTCTATAATTATAATGAATATTTTATGCGGCCAAATAGTGTTATGATGTTGCAGAGCCTGGATTCGAATGCTTAGAGATATCCGCCTATTATATGAAATGTTTAACGCTTGGATTCATACGTGATCACATGTGTTATGTTCAAGTGTGTGTGTGTGTGTTGTGTGTGTGTGTGTGTGTGCGTTCCTATCTCTGAGAATTAATTAAGAATATTTATTAGTAGGAGGAACATTGGATAATAATAATAATACCCTCCAATTAATTTAGCCCACGGATTCATTAAGATTTGTTATTTTAAACCTTACACATGAAAAATAAAACCTGAATTAGAAAGTGGTATCATGCCTTTGCGTCATAAAAACACTTGGAAGATTGCCATCTCGTAAATGTAACATCCTTTGTCCCGATGGGCTGTCTTGTGGTGGACGCCTTGCTTACTCTGTTTATACAGGTTAGGCACGTGGATACATGTCTCTTACTGCTCATGATTTGTGTTTATTTTGTTTGAAACTTTGCAAAGGTTTCATCATAGGCAAAAACTAGTTCGGTGAAAAACCGTTTAAAAACCACGCTCGTTGTTATGGGACATCGCTGTAACAATTATGTAATTTCTCACTCCAAAGAGTTGTGTGATCAAAAATAAAAATTTCATTTCTTATTTTTTTATTTTATCAGAATAATAATAATTTTTCAAATGCAAAATACACTATAAATGTTTTTTTTCAATTAATAAACACACTCATCAAGCTGAATTCTAAAGGCCTAAAATAATGTTGGCTTTCATTTTCTGCTCTGTTGCAAGTTGAAATCTAAATAGAAACAAAGTTAAGCTTTATTTCTTCATGGTTTCCGTCAAAATTTAAATTTTTTTTTCAAGGTAATGAGTTGAAATGTGAAGGCACGATAGCCGGCGTGACAATGGAAGGATGGATAACATCAACTTTGTACTTCACTTTGGCCACCATTGTTGAAAATTGTGCTGCTATGTGCAGAAATACTTCTCCATTTTTCATTATGACAGTAAATATATTTCATTTCTCTCTACCTTTTTTACACTGTACTTTATCTAATAATCGAATTAGGGAACTAACTGCTCGTGTTTCGTACCAACGAACACAATTCGGTCTGAAAATATTGTCAGAACTTCAAAGTACTGCAGTCTGTATAACGGTCTCCTTACTCTTCATACAAGTAAAAAAATAATTTATTTTATTGACTTTTTCACAGAATTCATGATTTTTGTGAATAAATCTTATTATTTTTTATGATCCCAACACTAAGCTTCTATTTTACATTAATATAAAAATTTAAGAATTTTAAACGTTTCTATCATCAATTGTCAACACAGCTATCCATGTACTGAAACGAAACTTTAAGAATCATTTCCCCGATGAGACGATTGACTTTGAAAGAGCGCACACATGCCAGCCAGGATGGAAAGGTGATCTCTGCGATAAAAGAGGTTGTAGACATTTTAAAAACTTCCTTTGCAAGTTGAACAATTTTGTTAGTTACTCGGATCTAGTTATAGGTGATAACTCACCTTACTTAGATGAAGCACAAATTATTTAATTCCACCCCGGCACACATCATAGTAATTTAGTTTTAGATAGATGAACCAGGTATGGTAAAAAAGAGAACGAAATGCGACACGTTTGAGCTAAAACCTAATTTAATATGACATCTATGCAGTTGTTGTTTTCAATTGAATCATTTTCAAAATTAGTGACACGAATTATATTCCAATCACAACACAGAATTTAAATCTTACTAAACTTTGTAAAAAAAATCAAATAATCAAAATTATTCAAAAACTATAAAAACTGACAAATGGAATGTTCCAAATTAGAGTATTGTTTTCGTCTTAATATGTGTTTTCAAATTTTAATCTAATCTGAGTTTTGAAATACACTTTTTGGAATGTTGTATATATTTGTATTATAATCAGAAGCAAATTTATTACCGTTACATAGTAGTAACAGTATTGACATAAATGTAATAGTATTATCTTACTTTCACTATCAAGATTGCAGTCTGAACAATGGTGGCTGTGGTACGACTGATATATGCGTTAGCAGTAAAGTCAATGGTGCTGAAATCTCTGAGTGCCTGTGTCAGGATGGTTATGTCAAAGATTTCTTAGATAAATGTGAAAGTAAGTTGAATCCGAATTTCTCATTATGGTGCTCCTGATAACTGGTCTTCTATATTTTTCATTTTGATTATTCGAGATTTTAATTAATTTTTCAGTAGATCGATTAATAAATACTCTTAATTAAAAATAAATTTAATATGATTTAGTTAGTTATATTGATATTGTTTTCCAAAATTTAAATAAAATGAGGTTTTTCACATTAGGAATTTTATGATTATTTAAAATATAAAAATGACGAAATGAAAAATTTTAATAAGAAAAAAAACTTTTTATTACAAAATTTTTGAAGAATTTCGGTTTAACGTGGCATACACAAAACCTTGCGTGTCATGTATGAATAATTCAATAACTAATGGTGTGTATTTGGAAGAGCCCCTCAAGTCGATGTTTGTATCCCTCGATTTGTTGTACAAGTATTTCATTGCCTATGTGGTAGTCTTCATGGCAGAAGGTTTGATGAACTTTTTTTTATTATTCTTTAAAAAAGTATAAAGTTAAAAAAGTATCGGAAGAATCTTTCACAACATGCAAGAGATATGATTTCATTGACTTTGAACCAAATTTAACGTTATGTCTTCAGAAAAATGCAGTTGAAAATTAAATACGCAGTTGAAAAAGTTTTTTTAAAAACTGTTTCTTCAAATTATATAGCTAAAAATACTGCATATGAAATTATTAAATAAAATGGTATATGTTTAGCATTTTTATTTTCTAAATTTAGAAAGCTTTTCAGCATCAATATTTAGCAACTGTTCAAAACAGATGAATTGTTAACTTCTTCGATGGTTTGAAGTTTAACCCTCAGAAAAATAAATCAGAAATAATTTTTTCGGATAGGGAACAGTACATCCAACACACACTCCATTGAGTTGCATGCATCATACCCTGGGAGGAATAGACCTTCGATGATAAATAGTCCCCAAATGTGCGGAAGTTTTATTGCTTCGATTTCTGAATACCTCCTTCCTATTAGAGTTAACTGTCAAGACCCGAAACTAGAAACACGATTTATAACAGTTTCAACATTGCAACTGCTTAAAATGCACTTTGTGGAGATAGAAGCTTATCCACGGGGTTGGTTGTATTTTTAGGTTGAAGTGAAAGACGATCTAATATTAATGTTTTGACAATTTTAAAAGCAAACTAATTTACCACAATTAAAAATGCATTTGCAGTTTAAAAAAAAAAACAACAGATCCTAATTTTTAAAATTTTTCCTGTGTGCAGATTGCAGCTGGAACAATGGAAATTGTGGCCACTTTAAATGCATGGAGTCGGTTCTTAACAGCGAGCCACCGGTCATTTCTTGCATGGGTAGTATATATATATATATATATATATATATATATATATATATATATATATATATGTATATGTATATGTATATATATATATATATATATATATATATATATATAATTATTGTCTGATTCGTTTGGGTAATTTTTAAACATTTCTTCCATTGGGCCGGTTTTGAAAAAGTATAATGAAAACCGACAGCACTAATCTTTTTAAGATGAAGAATTTAATTATAAATTTGTTTTAATTACAATTAACGTTTTCCGATGTTTTTTCAAATTTACTTTAGATTTTATTGCAATTTTTTTTGGTAGATTGCAGTTGGATGGATGTTGATTGTGGCTATCCTGAGTGCTTGGAAGTTACCGCCGCTGGCCACCCGCCGTATCTTTTGTGTTTAGGTTTGTAGTGCTTTATTCTCCATCTCTACACGTGCCCACTTGTTTGAGTTTAAAATTAAATAGCAACAGAGCTTGATTTGTAATAAGCGAGGTTAATAGAAATCTACGGTCACCACAATAAAGTAAAAAAAATATTTTATTAAAAAAATTAATCAAAATTTTACTGACAACTTCAATAAAAAGTCGTTAAACTTAAAAATTCGGCTAAAGATGAATATTTGACAAAAAACGCCATTCTGCTACTTTGTTTCCCCGGGTCTTTAGGTATAACTACTAGCCCGTATTTTGCTTGAGATACGAGTGTTTATGATATTTTTTTAGTTATGAAACAAAAATAATATGTCCGTTGAGTGTGATTACTTGTATAAGATTCAACAGATTGGAATAATGAGGAATTTCCAGTGGCTGCAAATGTGACAGAAAGTGTCTCATGTAGGAATAGGAATGGTGGATGTTTAAAGTTGACTTGCATCGAGTTTCGGGAGGAAAATCAGGGATGGAATGTAACTATAAAATGTGTTCCTCCTGATTCTAAACTATCCGTAGTGACAGAAGGTTGCAAATATTTCAGTATATGCGATTAATGATTGTGAAATTTTTTTTTTCAAATTTATGGCTCGTTCATTTTTTTAATTTTACTGTATATGGAAATTATATAATTGTTTAATATGATTATTATTTTTATTAGTAATATTATTTTAATATTATTATTATTCATTCAGGTAAACCTAAAAATAAAATAGATTTCAAGGGATGTTTTCTCTCAATGCACAGAACCAAGGAACTCCAAACAACTTCGTTTGAAACCTGTAGAGATTTCTGCCTCTACACATTAGTCTTCGGAGTGATAGTTTGTGGTTTATATACATACACATTGAATGCAATTTTTATATGTAGGGTATTTCTATAAGTATTTCTATTATAGAAATTATATTTTTGTTACGAAGCAATATGTCCTAATCTATTAATCTAGAAATTAGGAATGAAGAATCTATTATTAAAATAGTATGTATTTCTATTTCTATATTATTATGTATTTCTATAAGTGTCGTTCAGCAGTCAGCTTTTGTTTCTCTCACATCAACTATGAAATTGAGTTATTTCACTTATGCGAGTTTAACCAACGCATTGTGGTTTTTTAAACAGTTTTTTACTCAATCCGTGATTTAGATAGATTTAGTGATTTATATATTCTCTTAATTATAATATTATATAACATAATATATAATATAATAATACATAATTACTATGTGTTGATTCTAGCGGGGCGAGTTATGTGCATGTGGAAACATAGTGCAGAATGAAGTTAGCGCCGACGTGTGTGTCAGAAAATGTTCCAATGGATTTTCATGTGGTGGAAATTATTCCTACTCGGTTTATGCCAGTATAGAAAATTATTTCAACCTTTTTTTCTTCGGAAACTATTTTTCAAAAAATTTGTTAGCATTATTTGTTGGCTTGAAAAATTAGGCGCTGATCCATCTACTTATAACATCTACCGTGAGTTGAAACTCTGTCACTTTAATAGCACTTAACATTTACACCTTTTTTCAACTCGAATGAAGACTGAAAAATTACTACTTATTGAATCCATGAATGTTCCTAACGATAGAGAGTCTTGCATGTGATTGTCTTTGAAATTTGTAAACCATTTTTATGTTATTTAAAGAAAAAAAAATGTTTAATTCAGCTAGCATTAACTTTTTCATAAATTTTAAAATGTCTCAACCGTGAAGGAAGCGCTGATACAACGGTAGACATTGGATGTTTCAAGCTTGTCGTCTTTGAGCATCAGCTAAATCAACCCTTGGGTAAGTTTTCTTGCTGGAAGAAATGTAAAGAACTTGAGTATCCGTACGGCGGTTTAAATGTAAATTTTTTGAACGAGTTTCATTTTTACGTTTTGATATTTGTTCAATGATGAACATGCCATTTTAATCAAATTATTTTAAATATTTAATTTTTTTATAAAGATTTAGTAGTCAGTTTTTTTTTAAAAATATAATCCAATTTAGGGTGAGACATGTTTTTGTGGTGAAAAAATAAAATTCAAAGATCAGGTCAACATGGAACAGTGTGACGAGTCAACTGATCTTACTTTGCTGGCTGATGGTTTTTAAAATTTTGAAACAATCACTCAAATGAAAACTATTTTTAGTTAATTTTCTATATATCTTCGTTATTTTTGTTCAATTATTTCTCCTTTAATTTGCATTTATATCATTTCAACCATAATTTAACCATATTTCAGATTCTGAATATTTGTGTGAAATAGAAAAACAAATTTTTTGACAGTCTCACCTGAAATTGACGTATATGAAAAGACGATAAAATATCATTTCTGCCTAAATGACAGGACAGAGATGAGTAAAAAATATTGCAAATCTGGTGTCTGTGTGCCTGGTTGGAAGGGGGTTCTCTGCAACAATAGAGGTTGTTTAGAAGTTTGTGTGGTCATGTTAATGTATTTGTAGTATTTGTATATGTATATATATATATATATATATATATATATATATATATGTGTGTGTGTGTGTGTGTGTGTGTGTGCGTGCGTGTGTGTGTGTGTGCGTGCGTGTGTGTGTGTGTGTTTGTGGTCTGTACTTGATAGATTTCATATATCATATACAATTAAAAACATTACAATTACAAAATTACAATCTCTGACAGAATTATAAAACCACATCAGATTGTGATTTTGTAATTTTGTCAGAGAATGTATCAAATTTGAATTGGTTGTTTAGCTGCTGAAAAATTGTTTCAGAAAATATGAAATTAAAAAAAAGGTAACCAAACGCGAATGGGTATATATTCTCTGTTTCGTAACGTTTGTCGCCCTGCAGATTGTGACTCGAACAACGGAAGCTGTAACCACACTATGATATGTCAGCTGGAAAATGTTAACTACAAAGTATTTGCCAAGTGCCTATGCGAGCAGGGCTTCTCAAAAACCGATCAATACGTATGCGTAGGTCAATATTCGCATGCTTTCTCTCTTCTAAGACTTACTTCACAATTTCTTCTACGGCATATATTAATATATATCTAAACCATATTTTTTAAAGATCAATCTCTACCAATGCGGAATGAATGAGGATAATGATCTAATTTATTAACTTTTTTTTAAATGTTTATTTAAAAAAAAATCTCACTTGATAGAAACCATCAGCGCAGACAAGACGCCAGAAATTTTTTACAATCTCATCGCTGTATGTTCTCTTTCGTTCATTGTAGCCGTACCGATTTTTATAGCAATGGTTCAGGCTGTAAGGCAAGTTGCCAAAGGGAATATAGGTTGGTTTCTGTCTAATAAACTTCAATGTTTTTTTTTCAGTTTTTGAGTTTTTATAGGTTATTTCGTCATGAAATTCTGGATTTTTATTTTGAAAATCGTATATTCAGCTTAAAAAGGGCATTCAATGATTTTGAGCAATACTGTAATGTTAATTGTTAAAATATTATCAACTGGTTAGTGGAGTGAATCATGTATTACTATACCTAAAACAAATTTTTTATAAAGCAAATCAACAAAACGAAACAGGTAAGTATATTTGGGTTAAAGTTTTTTTAACAATTATTGAAATCAAAATTATTTCTATAAAATTTAGTGCAATTTTTAGCCAAACTTGCGAAAAAAACATGTTTGTCAACGAATAAAACTGATTTCATAGAAAATGTTCTTACCTGTTAAAGTCAAATACATTTAAAAAAATTTATTAGCCACTTAAACCATTAATAAAAACTGAGTTGTTAAAACTGGTTATTTAAGTGAATCATATCTTGTTTCTCTTCCATTGAAAAGCACGTAAAAAAACCGATGAGTTAATTTGGTTTTAAGTTTACTCAAAAGTTGAACATTCAACTCATCTTAGCGAATTTAACAATAAATATGATTTTTTTTATATTGAAATGCTAATTAATTTATATTAACAATAAGACGTAAATCATAAGCTTTAAATGGCTTTTTTAACATTTCAACAGATCGACAGAGCGATCTCGGTAAACAATTCATTTTAATAAAATTGTTTTTTTTTATAAATTTTCTTCATATTCTTTTTATTTAATGATGCAATTATGAAGGCGTTTGATGATGTAACATGTAGAATGGCACGCGTATGAGTGTTATTTGTAATTCTGAAGATTTTTTAGGATTCGAGTGTTAAATTTTTCTATTCTAACGCAATAGTTCAGTTATTTTTGCAAGCAAAGATAGCTGTTTGATCTACTTTTTTAATTATAAAACTCTTTGTTTCAATATTTTCACAACTTATTTCATTCAACATTAAATACAATTTTTTTTTAATTTTAACAAAATTTTTTTTAAATTTTAATTTCCAGTAAGTGATAGCAATTTGGAGGTTTGAACAATGTTAGCCTTGGACTGTTTGTTTGAAACGAAAAATTTCAATTCAAACTAAAAGGCATGTTACCAAAATCGTATAATTGATGATGGTGGGATGGTGGTTATGGCAGTTAAGAATTCTGACATACTGTATTTTTAAAGATCTGACTATCTATGTGACGATAGGAATAGATTTTTATGAGGCTTTTTTGAAAACATTTTTCACTAAATTATGAAAAGTTGGACGAAAATATTTCTTCAGTTGATGTGTAAAAAGTATGGTCGACATATATTGAAATTGTGAAGTTGAATAGTAAGTGTTCATAAATTTTGCGCATCTGTCAGTATTTGAATAAGTTGGATTTAATCAATTTAATCTTCATATAAATTACGTATTCAATGTATAAATTGACAAAGTTTTTTGAAATTTGAGAGCAAGAAATCGACACAAAAGAATATTTTATGGCTGAAATAAATCTTCACGTTTAATTTAATAAAAACAAATTTGTCAATAATTTTATTGAAACGTTTCATTTTTATCTAAATCTATTTATTATTGACAAATAATTTTTTTATAAAAATCTAGCTGCTTTAAATTTAAAAAAAATCTAGGAAATATTTAAATTTCAATCTTTCTAATGAAGACGCCATGAGAGTTATTGAACGGCTTGTAATTGAACCTGGGCACTGCAAAACCGGACTTGTGGTCTTACATTGTTTCCCTTGTGCTAAGCGTTGAGTTGCTGTCTGTAAAAGTTGTATACAATTATTTCACTCAACTGAAAGAACATTTTTTTAAATAAACTCAGAAAAATTACATTACAATTACAAAATTACATTCTATGACAGAATTTCAAAATCACAATCTGATGTATCAAATTTGAGTTTGCTGTTTAGCTGCTGAAAAATTGTTTCAGAAAATTTGATTTTTTTTTTATAAAAGACTAACGCGATTGAATAATTTAACAGTGTTGCAAGATATGGTTATGAAATTAGAATAATTAAAAATCAGGTAAAAAATCTTAGAACACGTGAATTTTCAACAATAGCGTAAAAAAGTCCCAAAACATCATGGATATGGTATATAATAATTACGAATAACATACCTCTTATCGATCGCTCTGTTAAATTTTTAAATAAAATTAGAGTTGTGAACATGTAACGCAGTTTTTAATTTAATTCTTTTTTACATTTTTTTCATCAAGATAAAACTATTCATGTCGATATGTAATTAACACTGAATAGATATTTATGAGCTTTAGTTTAATATGCAACACGTTGTTAGGCACTTATAAGTTTTAGCTTGATTCTGTTTTATGTTAATTGAATATAACTGAATTCGTTCACTTGCCCTAAGCCAAAAATAAAATTCACTCAAATGTCTTTTAATGTATGAATGAATATTTCAATAATTTATTAGTATTTATTAATCAGTATTCAATATCATTTGTATTATTCATTAGTATTATTATTCATTAACATTTTTACCTGGAGACCCTGTATCTAATTAATTAATTAATTGATAAATTAGTTTTTAACAGATAAAATGGTAGAATGTTTATAGTTGAATAGAATGGCAGAACTGAGGGTTAAATGTTTGATCGATTAAATTTTTGGATAGATAATTTTCCTAAATGTTAGCCAAAAATTTATTCACCTGGTAATTGCAGCTCTGCATAAATTGACAAAATTAATTCGTTTTATGTTTATGAACCTTTATGTTTATCAATAATTGTGGATTAATCAGATGATGAGGGGAATACAGTGACGTATTCAGTTATGAAATTGAAAAGTGTATAAATTTATCGTTTGAGCCATTCATTCTTTAATTGAAAATTTCTAAAATACAAATTTGAGCGTCATCATAGTACTAAACATAGCAAGTCAGTTCTTATAACAAGCTTAATCAGATATAAATTAAACAGGTAGGCAGCGTAAGTTTTCATCTCATATTTACCTTTTGCTGATTAAATGCTAGCCAAAAATTTATTCACCTGGTATTTGCTGGTCTGCTTAAATTGAGAAAATTAATCGGATGATGAGGGGAATACAGTGACGCAAATGGCTAAACTGTATTCAGTTATGAAATCGAAAAGGGTATAAATTTATCGCTTGAGTCATTCATTCTTTAATTGAAAATTTCTAAAATACAAATTTGAGCGTCATCATAGTACTAAACATAGCAAGTCACTTTTTATAACAAGCTTAGTCAGATATAAATTCACTTAATTCTATAAATTTATTCCAATTCATCTGGCTATCCTCTCTTTAAAACTTAGCCAACGATAATAACAGACTTAAAATAAATTTCAAAATTTTCTATTAACTAAATTTTTCAAAAACTGACTAAAATTGACTAAAATGAAAATTCTAATAACTAAAACAATAATGACTAAAACTGACTAAAATGAAGACTCTAATAACGAAAACAGTAATGCATATTATAACAGTTTATTTTCACTCGCACTACCTTTGTTTGTTCTATTTTTGACGAGTTTTCCTTTAAAACGTACCCACATAGCGGCTGAAGCCACTGCACTTAGGATAAGAGCAACGATCACTATTAACACTACAATGAAAATCTTTCTTATTTGCTCTTCCTCTGGTTCGTCCACATCTGCCATATCTGCGTTTTGTTTTTTTTTCGATGGTATTTTTATTTTATATTTGTTATTATTTTTTGACTTATTTCCCCTAAAAGCTGTTTGGAAAAGAGGATTTTACAAAGCAGTAAAATTTTGTGTTCCTATCTAAGTGCCATCAAGACGAACATATTTAAAATCGACAATCAAAAACTTGTTAAACTCACAACGGTTATTAAAAATAAATAAACGAATTATAAAAAGAACTTTTATATTGAAAAATTTAAATTAAAAAAAAATTAATTTGGTAAATGTAAAAAATAGAAAACCAGGAAAAACGAAACGATAATAATTTCCAGGCAACAATTCGAAAAAAAAACTTCACAGAAAATCGTTTCGCCAACCTTTGCATTCAATTCCGTTGACGGTGATGAATCCATCGGCACAGAGGCACCTATCTACCATAAGGTTATTGATTATCTGCTCAGTACACTTCATCGTCTCATTGCACCCTCCATTCTTCTCATTACAATCTTTATGTGGAAAAATTCAATAATTAAATTCACTAATTAAATGATACTTTCATCTATCTTTGTTAGTTACTTAACGAGTGGCATAAGACACCTGGTCCCGTTTTGCAGTGTTAGTAACATTTGACTAAGTTTTTTTTCACCGTTTGTGGTGTTTACTTCAACTTAGACATCTTTTAATTTAACCTTCTTACATCAGACGTTGAATGCTTTAGAAAATCTTTTTAATTTGAATTCTCTTAACCAACCCGATATAACAAAAATACAAATTTTAAAAAAATATCTCGATAGATGAGTTCATCAAACTTCTTTTGTCACAGAGTGCTCCAGTCCAACCAGGTATACAGATTCTAGATTTACAGTAAGACTTCTTACTTTCCTCTTTGTCATTCATGCAGAAGTTGTAGTTGAGGGTATTCTGATTTACATTAACATCTGGCGAGACTATAAACGGCAGAGTTGTTGAGTGAATGGAGAATTTTGTCACTGAGAAATTTGCGTTACATGCGCTTGCGTATGCAATATTTCATTAAGCAATGACTTTTTAACTCTTTTGCAAGATAGGTGTTTTGATGTTAAAAATGAATTAGGGCGTTGTTGTAGTGCTATTTTTAGCGTAAAACTGAATGCAAAGAAATTCTTTCCTACAAAAACACTACATGTGTTTTTAATAAAAAGTAAAATAAAAATAAATATCTCAGTCGTGTCAAAAAAAAAAAAAAAAAAAAAAAAACTTAATTTTTGTTCACCGTCAGAAAGTAGAATATAAACTGAAGAGCCTGTGCATTGTGCCTTGCTTACTTGATCTTTGAATTTTAAATTCTTACCACATTGACATGAATCAGACTGAGAGCAATTTTTAAAGGAACACATTTTTTTTTCAAATAAAAACAAAAATTTATTTAAATAATAAGTAGTTTGTTGAAACTAAAATCAAGGCATTTGTTGTTGTAGCAAGTTGGGGAGAAATATCTATCCGCTATGTCAAATGCAGAAAAAAACATTGACAAAATCAACTTTTACAAAGCACTCAAAGTGATATTGAAACGATCAGTGTGGAGGTTTCGATGAACATTTTTCAAAACACATCTTACAAAGATATAGCCTAATAATGTTAAAAAAGAACATGTAAGCGCTCTTATGATAACCAGCTTCACAATGTATTTTTTTTTCTCAAAGGAAATAATTTAGCTATGATATATG